TTCCTTTTCTTGGCGCTTGGCAAAGAAGGTTTGGATCTCGCGGTTGATGCGGCCACCAATGGGACGAATCCTTTGAAGGTCTTCCTCAGGAAGCATCTCTTGCTGGATGACCTTGTTGAAAGACCCATACATGATACGAGCAAGGGCAATGACCTCGCGTTGCTGGTTGTACAGAATTCCTTCATCTAGGTCCGTTTTGGCTTTGGCATCACGGAAGAAGTGGTCATGGAGTTTGCGGTATGGCACCCACAAACGATCGAGAGCTTTAGTAACCTGTATACCGTATGCGCGCTTTGCACCAGCCACATCACCATCATTGGCACGAGCTCGTAGGTGATAGTGAGTATTCTGAACGGCGGTAAGGTAGAGACGCATAGTTTGCGGATCGGGGGTCTCGGTGCGTTCCATCATGTTGTCGAGAGCGCGGTCAGCATTCTTGATAACATTCTGGTTGATGTTGTCGCGAATACATGTTTCCATGGCCATGCGGTAGATACGCGGGTCAATGGTGTCCTCGGGAACAATCGACAGAATCTCAGTAGCATGTGCACTAGCCCTGGCTTGCTTGAGTATGCTAAACAGACGCATCCAACAATCCCTATCGGGCTCTATGTTGTGCTCGCGGACCAAGAAGTTCCAATACTTGATGCCGATACTGCTCTGTTTCGTTTGGTGCACAACATTTAACAATAGTGACAAAGTATTATTACCAGGACTGGCATAGACACCGTTGCCGTCCTTCTTGGCAACTGCGCCTGTCTTAGGGTCGGTTTTGCGGGCATCGACAGCGGAACGTTCTTGGACTTTAGACAAGTTAGGCACGTTCATAGTCTGCTCGACAATATCAAGAATCTCCTTTTTGTCATCTATTTCAGATGACAATATCATTAAACGGCACATCGTGCAGACAAATTCTTCATCGATGACCAGACGTCCTTGCCGCCATTTACTCATGGCCTCCCCCCAGATTACTTTGGCGCGTTCAACAGAGTTTCTGATGTTGAACCGCTTTTGGTCATCTGTTAGATCTTTGATGTCGCTGTTGGCATTCCATCGCAAAGCACTGATAATAGTCGCATAGGTGTAAGCAGTCGCGGCTCGTGTGGTATCGTTTATTGTGTCGACAATGGAGAACATCGAGTCCAAATCGCCCGCTCGGTTGCAAACGTTTAGTACTGCATTTAAATGAGTTGTGTTTGGTTCCAAACGGCTGTCCTTGAGAAGGTTGTTGTATTGCTTTACAGCCTCGGCGACAGCAAGTTTGGGATGTTGGGATCTGGCGAGACCGCGAAACAGAGTAGTGTATGTCTGGGCGTTGGGAAACTGCGCGCGCTTCTTCATCTGTTACAATGTTAGAGTTTTGTTTGGAGTTCAACATTCGAGTGGTATACGTACGTCGTTGAATATTCTGATTGCTTTGGTTAATTGCTGTTGTTGCAACATGTAATCCATCAACATGGTCCACGGTACAACCAGTGACAATGTTCTACTGCCCATCTTCACAACACAGTAGGCTTCTTCAAATTTGCCTTTCTCTAGCGCTTGCTTGACATATTGTGAGAATTTCCATGGATCATCAGCGAGATATTTCAGCTCCTGCTTAGCGACCCGTTCCACTCTGAGCGTTTCCTTTTCCGCCGAGACCGAGTTCTCGACACCATCTTCAAGACTTCTTGGAGTGTCTCTGTTGCTGTTTTTCGGCGCGTATGCCTTTGTTATAGCGGCGGTTATCGCTTCCGCAGTCGGTGTTGTTTTCGCTGGTTTGGCTGTCGTTGAATCAAACATGTGCTGTGCTTTGTGAAAGGAACGATATTGAGACTGGAGAATAGGCCTGGTAGCCAGTCTCCGGCGTGGCACAAGCTGTAGAGCTCTGCGCAGGTATACGCCACCATATATCAACTTGTCGGCCATCATGAGTGAACAGGCGGTCGCAAATCGAGAGAAAAGAGAACCGCTGTCACAAAGAGACAATTGAGTCGCAATGCCGAGCACGAAAAAAAGTATCTTATCTTATCTGTCGAGGGGTCTTGGGGTAGCAAAAAAACTCGAGACTCATGACTTGGTGCCGAAAATAAACAGGCTTAGCGCGGGTCTAAGATGGACTCAAGACAACCATATTATTATGTCTAATGGAGTTATGTTTTTTGCAACCCAAGGGATATTCTATTAAGACCGGGCCATTGTATCTATGTACCTCCAGAGCTGCCGCGCTTAAATTACCGCGCACAACGACATGCCCCTTGGACATGCTTACAATCCTACAAGGGGTCTACAGGCCCCCTGCATCCCGCTAATCTACTTTGAGTCCAATTGGAGACGCGCTTCGTGATCGCAGTCCAGTCAATGTCTATGTAAGAGCACCAGAGACGAAATTAGTGAGTCAGCTTGGTCCATTTTAAACTACATTCTTTCGTTGCGTTTTTTTGTAGCCCGAAGCACTGTGGTTCGAAGGCTCATACCTTTGTTACCCCCCTACAACGTTTCTTGACAAAGACAAAACAAGCGAAATACCAACAAACTTAGATTTACTTATCTATATTTCCACGACCCGTCAAGCATTCTCTTCTCTTCAAAATCATTACTACTCACAGTTCCCAACCTTTCTCCGGGTTTTTTTTATTTTTTTTAAACTCTGCTTCTGTTCACGAGCTCTCCAGCCATGGCTAAAACTAAAAAGGTTGCGACAGATTTCGAAAAGATCATCAACGAGGGTAAGCGCAGAATATCCAGCCCCAAGAACATCTCCCCTTTCTGACATTGGTATTCTAAAGGGCGCGAGCGAAAGAAGAACGAGGATCTTGCCAATCGCATCTTCTCCAAGAACCGCCGCCAGAGCGCGCCATCCAAGCTTGGTGTCAAGTCCACTTCCAGTCCCTCGCTCGCAAGTCGCGTCGGCGTCAGAAAGGTGCAGCGCGCCTCGGGCATCGGCGCCCGCTCAACTGCTCCCGGCAACGTGAACGGCGAATGGACTCATGACCTACATCACTCGATCTCGGGCGACCTGAGCGCTCGCATCTCTGCCCCCAATGGTCCCAACAAGCGAGCCAACAACCGTCGAACGGCTCGACTATCCGCCGCTATTGATCGCATGGACACTTCGGGCGATGCGCCCCAGCAAGTCAACATAGTGAAACCGAAGGGGAACAACGCCAACTACAGTTCCATGGGAATGAGCATCCGGGGTCTTGCTGGGCCATTCACCGTCATGGCACAAAACTTCGCTCCTGGCACCACCCCCGCCGATATCGAGAGCGCGATGACCCCCATCGGAGGCGAGATTGTTAGCTGTCGCATAGTCAAATCGAAGCCTATCCTCATCTTCGAGATGGCATTTGCCTCTCGCGAAGGTGGCGAACGAGTCATTGAAACATTCAATGATAAGACTGTCAGTTTGAAAACGTCGAATTGCCCCTAACACACACTAACCTCATCCACAGGCTGATGGTAGAATCATCAAAGTGTACCCTAAGCTCGGCGCTCCAGCAAACATCTCATCTCCCAACCCTCCCAGGGATGCCCCTAGCGGCCCTCGCGGCAATCGCGCAAGCAGGCCCACCAAGGACAACGTCGTTGACGGCTCAATGGGTTTTCCTGACTTGATGCAGACTGCCACAAACGATTCATCAAGGAAAAACCAGCTGTATAGTGATAACCTTGTTGGTGGCAGCCGAAGAGGTCGTGGTGGCCCAAGGGGTCGCGGTGGACGATAAATCCGTCTCTTTTTATCGACTCATGCTTCCAAAGGCAGCTTCGAGGGTTGCAGAGAACTTATGTTCCACCAGACCTCCCTCAAGGAGAAAGCAATCTGCGGGACCAGCTCACATCAAGTCCCACTGATCTGCCATCAAACTGGGTCTCATGTTTTCTTCCCCTAGATTTATTAGGGTGCAAAGAACAAAGCACCTAGTATCGGGTACAAATGGCATCACTCAGCTTGCTAATTTCATCTCTTTTGCTCTTAGCAACCGAGTTTTTTGACAGGGCCGCAAGTCTGGTTTTGAATCTATCTTTCTTTGGGCTTGGAGTTTGGAGTTAATAGTTGGTCTGTTATGCGATAGTGCCTACCAGCACAAGCTTCTGGCAGTATTTTACGATATGATGCACCGACCATGGGATAAACACAAAACGTTGGAATCAACTAAGAAACAAGTCGTTTCCGTAAGGGACTATTCGTGATATTTTATACCTCCATTCAACCTCCCAGATTAACCCTGTGAAGCCTCCATCTCCCTAATCAAACAAAAAACAGATTACACCAATACAACTACACATTGGGAGTCGAAAACCAAGAGTTCCTACCCCATGATATGCCAAGCGCGTTTCGTCCTCGTACACCAAAACTTAATACCAGAATAACAATATCTACAGCCAGGCTACATAGCACTCAGGCAGGCTTCGTTGTCACCCGCTGGATTTTAGAACTCTGCACCATGTCAAATTCCTGACTGGCCATCCCGCCCCTTGATACTATACCAACAAAAGAACAAGAACGAAAAGACTAAAAAAAGAAGCCGCCGCCAAAAAGTAACCCCGTTGAATCCTGCGACCGTTCCCGAGGCAGCTCCGCCATGTCAGACGAAGGAAGTCGTGAAAAATCTCACAGACTCCATCATGGAACTGACTGATACGATCCTATTCGCCTCGAAATTGCAACTGGACTTCTCAGAATCCCGACTTCCAATCCATTGAATACGCCCTTGGCGCTGAGTTTCTTCCAGCCCCCCTCTTCGGTTGCTCCAACATATTCGGCCAGCATCGCCTGAATAGACTCGCCGAGATACGTGTCGCCCTGTTTCGTGGCGCTTGCGGATTAAAAGGACGAACGGGTCCCTATTATATTAGAACCATCATTCAGCCTTTCTTTAACCACCAACCATGAGCATTGGTCTGTTCTGCTGCCGCCAGGGACAAATGTCGGTGGCGGTTCGTTGTTCATCAAGTGAAGGCGCCTTCATCATAAGTTGGTACAGGCATCTGGCCCCTCGTCAAGCTACACCACTTCAATGCCACGTGTTCTGGTTTCCCATAAAACCTTCTTCTAGAGTACGCTCTTCCAGGTTGCGAATGAAGTCTCTGTTGCCCCGACCCCCTTGCTGTACGCGGCTCCCTCTTCGATTTGCTGCCATTCGGTTATCGACGTTGCCACCCGTCATGCTTTCCCCAGTAGGCGGGTAATACGCTGGACTGGGCTGTAGACGAATTGGTTGACTGGGATCAAGATGGCTTGCGACTCGTTGAATAGCGGCTGGGATGCCGCTCTGTTGCTGCTCCATGGTAGATGCGCGTTGACGCACGGGTCTAATTCCCCCTTGCTGATGCTGATACATATTGGGCTGGGGCATTTGCGCATACTGGCCTTGAGGCACCTGCTGCGGTTGTTGGGAAACAGGCATTTGTCCATACTGGCCATGTTGCTGGCCATATGGCGAGGGCATATTGCCATGGCTACCTCCCTGGGGATACATGTTGTTTCCGTACATTTGCGGTTGCGCATGCCCCTGCTGCGCATATTGATTGGCGTTCGCTGGGTACGGGTTAGGAGCGGCCGAGGCAGCTTGCTGTTGCGCCGCTTGCGCCCGCTGCTTGCTGAGCGCTTCAGCCTGTTGCTGCTGCTGTGTACCGGGCGCCGGTGATCTGTTCAGAGAGCTTGACTTGAGGTTCATTGGTGGTATAAAAGGGCCAGTGAACTTCTGCTGAGTAATGAAAGGGTGAAGCTTGGCTTGCTGTGGAGACCATCTTTCCAGAGGATTGATTGTTAGAAGACCTCGAACAAAATCGATAAATGCAATACGATTGTTCATTTCTGTTTCAGTTTGTGTCAGCCGCGTTCAAGTCATCGTCTGAATTTTATCTTACCTCTGTCGATCTCGCTCTGCTTCATGTTCTTTCGGGGCATGGGGTAAGTTTTGATAATCTCGGGAAGAGTGTTGGCCTGGAAATACTTCTTGCTGGGTTGCTCTTTAGTATTGCGCTCCCGGGCGTATTGTTCCATTGGCTTCAGCTGGTACGTCCGTCGTCCAAACTCATCCTGTCGCTTTTCGAAAAAGTCGCCTGCCTGCTTGCCCATCTCGATCATCCAGTTCGGGGGGTTTCCTAGCATCTCGACAATTCGCGAAACCTGATTGTACTCAGAAGATCCGGGAAACAAGGGAAGGCCCAGGAAGAGCTCCACCACAATACATCCCAGAGACCACATATCGATGGCTGACGAGTATGGCAGACCAAGCAGCACCTCCGGAGATCGATAGAATCGTGATTGGATATAAGTGTAGACAGTCTGTCGCTCGTCGCAAGCTGAGCCAAAATCGATAATCTTGATGATAGGGCTCTCAAGGTTTTTAAGAAGAATGTTTTCGGGCTTCAAATCACAATGAATCAGACGAGCCTTGTTCAACAGCGCTAGACCATTGAGAAGCTGCTGAGCAAACACGCGAACTAGCGTGGTGCTGAGACCTCTGAACTGGTTCTGCTTGATAAGTTCATAGAGGTTGACACTCAGAAGCTCAAAAACCAGGCAGAGATGTTGTCGATGGATAAAAGTATCCTTTAGGCGCAGCAGATGGTGGTCGTCATTCTTGTCGAGTTTCGTGTTGAGCTGCGACTTATTAGTGTTTGTGCTTATCGCCAGATTGAGAATCTCATACCAAGTCAAGGACGGAAACCTCCATCATACTCTGGTTGAAGTAGGCGGTGCGGTTTTTGATAACCTTGACGGCAACTACCTCCTGCGTCTTGAGATTCTGGCATTTGACAACTTGGCCGAAAGTACCCTGGCCCAAGACGTCCAGAATAAGATAACGATTCCTGTGACAAAGGTTAGAGACAAAAGTCCACAATGGGCCCAAGTATGACTTACTTGTGGCCAGCCTCCTCGGAACCAAGAATATCGTTTACATAAAGAATGTAATCGCTGTCTTCGTTGTCGTAACCATCATTCTTGGTGCCCTTGCTGGGTTTTGTCAACACTCTACGGGGATTGCGAGACGACTCGTATTTGAAGCTCGGGTTGCAAATACGGTAGGTAGCAGGCAGTTGAACGGTGAGTGCCTGAAGGGGCTGTAAAAATGGTGAGCATGAAACTGTGAAAAGAATTGAGGACAAACATACGCTGATAAAGCCGCCCTCAGGATTGGCACGACGAAAGGCTGGCTGCAAATTGACTTTGGGTTGCAAGTCGGTAGAGGATGACAATGGCTTGAATTCTGGAACAGGACCCCTGGTCACTTGCTGAGGAACGGGCCGGCGCGGAGACTTAGGATCGAGGTTGAAGGCAGCGTCGAGATGGCTGACAGCAGATGAGGGATAGTTTTCCTGGTGACCACTAGACGCGTAGGGGTTGATAGGAGGCAGATGTTGTCCTGGCTGATGTTGACGAGCACCGGGGAAGTAAGGAGACTGAGAGTAATCGGGCTGGCGTGTGGGTGACTGTCGCTGTGTCGGGCTGGTGAATTGGCTGTTGGAAGCAGACTTGGGCGCGTAGGGCGAAGTGGGGGACAAAGTCTCCATGGGCGAGTATCGTTGAGCAGCAGAAGACTCCTGGGGAGAATGAAGATTAATGGGACGGCTGCCCGATTGATGGGATTGGTGATGAGGTCTCATAGGGTATTTAATACCGGCATGAGCATCGTGAGCATCGTGCATTGCGACGTCACCGTTTCCGTCGGGCATCTGAGAAAGTGAGATGGGGGATGCGGTCGCGTTAGGGTTACCAACAGGAGCAGAAGCAGGCGGAGCAGCAGCTGAATGAACGGGGGCACCGCCGTGGAACTGGTCGTATTTATATCCGCCTTGAGATGGCGGTTGGTTGGTATAGTCTCGGGAGGTCTGGTTGCTGCCGTTGTGACGTCTCGAGGAGCCAGGCGAGTTTGCGTCGGGATATTGCTGCCACTGGGGATCCATGACACTCACTGACTGGCTGTTGCTGCTATGGAAGCTGGGTGAAGCAGCTTAGAGCGACAGCGTCAGGGGTGGCCGCGATGAAGTCGAGGCAATTGGTGGTCAGCAGCGAAATCGTTGAAGCTCTTGCTGTCAAGAGTGGGGTGGGCAGTGCGTGGTTATCGGGCGCTGACGATGATGTCGACGGTCGATTGTATCCCAATGATTTGGAGTGGCAGGGCGTAGGATTGAGGAGTAAGAAAAATGAGAGCAAGAGGAGAAAGCGCAGTGTAGTATAGCGTTGAGTATTGGGTAGCTAACTTGGCTGCTAGCAACAAATACAATACAGTACAGAGAGCAAACGGTTGGCCGGCTGCTGGTTGGGTCGGATGCAATGTTGGAGATGGATCGAGTTGGGTCTTGTCGCGTACAGTCGGTCCCGTAGTAGCCAAGTCAAGTAACAGTAAAAGCGGGCTAACCCAGGCCGTCCAAATAGAACTAACGTCAGTGTGCTACCGTATGTGGTGCAGTGTAGAAGACAAAAGATGTTTGAATCAGCGCACCGAATCCTCGCAATATTGTACCGCAGCCGTAAAGCAAAGCACAGCACAGCAAGAGATGAGGGGGCGGGAGGATTGGGCACCGCAATCAGTAACCAGTGGAGGCCCAAGCCAAGGCCTGGGGGTGGGTATGGGTATGGGCACGTCAGGTAGTAAGTAGGTAATGTAGCTGGCGCAGACAGACTACTAAGACTCTTGTGTTGTTATTGTAGAGGTGTGACGCAAACGTTGACTTAGGTATGAGGTTCGATATAAGAAGATGTGCTGGATTCTAATCAAAGAATTTTACAAATGAAAGAATCCATTGCACCCATCAGTTGATGATTGAAGACTTGTGTGTTGCTCGTGAAGCTGAACCTAAATGAGTTTAAGTTGAGTTTAGTGGTAAGAGGCTGGAAAACAAAATAAGAAAGAATAGAAGCAGAAGCAGAAGCGCCTGCCTTTTTCTTCTTCCCTTGTAGATACTCTGTGCCACTTGTGATATCACATCCATGCCCGCCTATTGAGTTTAGTACCAAGGTTTCTTCAATGGCAACAATAAAAACAAACCGTCAATATGATATCTTGTACGTAGGTGAAGATCTGTCGTACGAGACTTTTACAGAGAGAAATATCGAGTCTGCACTTAGTATGCACGACGTTTCCAAGCAGGCAATTTTAGACACCAATACATGCCATTAAATCTACTAAGAATTTCCAGCACAAATTGTTATTTCGTGGTTGTTCACAATTTTCAAAGTCTAATACTGGCTTCGCCTCTCGCTCTATAGTTAAGCACAAATTTTAATAATTCCCATTTATTGATAAGGTGATGGTAATTGACAAGCAAATCACCCCAAAGCCATGGGCGTTTTTCTGGTGAGTCTCGCTCGGGTTTCTTGACTCCAGCTACAGGTATGTAGGTGTACAGCACCTCAGTACTCACTTATTAGTGCCTATACGAGAGAAACATGCAAGAATTTGCAGACCAGGTTACGTTTGTTCCTACAAGGCCTGAGTGGAACCCTCAAGGGGGTACGCCGCAGCGGGCAAGGGAACCTTTTAGGACCTAGCAATGGTGATCCCCCTCCTAATATTCTACTCTGTACCCTGAGGTAATGTGTCGAGGGTAATCAGCCCAACGATAAGTAGGTTCTATAGTGTTTGGCTCTTGTCAGACAGATAGACAGTGACAACAGTTACACAAGCTGTTATCTGTGAATCGCAACCTAACTCATTACCGTCTGATATGTTCATCTGAGGTATGAAGCTTCTGACTCCTCTAACAGGAGCAACGCGCAACCCATTGGTTTACCCCGGAAATTGCCAGCTACGCCTCCAATGCTCAAGTCAGCTTCTGACCTTAGCTTCTAATCCCCAGATGTTCTCTCATTCCCACGTCCACGCGCTGATATCGTTGGCATTGGTTCTCTCAGCCTAATCAACAACACAAGCCCCCATGTCCATAATGACGTCCTTCCCAGGGTCTTGGGGGATTACCACGGAAGAAAAATCAAGTTTCATATCCCAAACGGCTTCCGGCCCTTCTCGCCCTATTCGGTAGGACAAAACTTTCGACATTTCCAGGTTCAACCCCAGCCATCTCATTGGGGTTTCATGGGCTTGCCGCCCATCCAGCTCCAAATACGTGGCTGTCGTGTCCAATATTGACGACTTGACCAGGGTCCACTGGTGCCAAAAAAGTCTTCTAAACACGTAGAGCTGTTGCCATGCCAATCATCATGAAACCAATATTTACTATGCACTTGTATCGCAAGTTGCCATCATGCTCCTCAATTATCAAGGCCACGCAGGAAATCATGTGTCAGAATAAGACCGAGGTTTAGCAGTTAAGTGAAGGCTCTCATTATGTTTTATTCCTTCATCTTACGTCAATTGTCGATTGTCTTTCTTTCCTCATCTCCAAAGACAACCCTGCCCACCTATGTACGGATACTTGAGCATCTTTAATTGAGGCTTGAACTTCCGCCTCTTCTCGACCTTCCAGGGTCCTCACCTTTTGTCATCAGTCTTACACAGTCGTCAAATCGTCGTAGTTCCATCATTTCGTGAGCAAGAATTATCAGTGAAAGAAAAAAGTGAAAAATAGAAAAAAAAATGGTCCCGTTAAGAAAGAAATGTCACCGCTAAATACACAGATGGAAAATCCATGAGATGGAACTGCCACCCCCTTCGCCAGCCACTGAAATATCAGATGCTTCGTGGCATACAAGAATGGACGAAACGCTCATGACTTCGTCAGATAAGGAAATTTGAAATGCCAGATTGACACCTGACCAAATGCAACAAAGTCGAGGTCAAATACTGGTGGTAGGTATCCTGGAGATTGCGCTCGTATAGAGAGATAGAGAGACTGAGAAACATGTAGCGCTCTTTGGCTTTATCGACATAACAGGAAGGGAAGAAAGAAATGTGTACATCCGATTGAAGGCAAGACAGGAAATTTGCCCTTTTCTCCCAGAACACGGAAAGGGGGTATCACAGGCCCATACTGTAGTAATGCTTGGAGATACTGAGAAAAAAAGTAACGGAAGCAACAGAAACAGTAGAAGCAAGCGCGAGAAAAGAATCCACAGAAAGGTGAGAAAGAAGAAAGGGGGCCATGAAAAACGGATGGAAAGAAGCCCGACCCGCGCCATGATCTCGCGCAACAGCTCAGTCATTACCTCGCCCAGCCTTCATCCGGCTTTTTAACTTGTCTTGCTCTGATTTGGTCATTGCCTCCTAGGCCTGATAACCACCAAATCCGTTGTTGAAGTTCTGACCGGGGCGAGGCTGGGCCCATTCAGCATTAGGAGGTTGCTGACCTCTTCCGTAGCCGCCAGCACTCTGAGGGGCAGCGTATCCCATCGGCGAGCCAGCATAACCCGCTGGCGATCCAGCTTGCGGGCCACCGTAGTTACCAGGCTGTCCGCCGTACTGGGCTGTCATCGCAATCGTTAGCTAATATACAGTATAATTATGATTATACCTCAACTCACCACCATACTGAGGATAATAGCCAGTAGGCGTGCCCGGGAAGCCAGGAGCTTGGGCACTCTGGGGGCTGAAAGGTTGGACAGGGTCGAAGCCTCCCTGAGCATTGGGTGTCTTGTCCTTGCCCCACTAAGAAAAAACAATTGTCAGTTGTGGTCCTGTGCAATAAATTGGGGTTCAAGGTGGGCAAAACATACACTACACTTGAGAGGGCGGCCGTTGACGTTGTATCCATTCATCTGACAGATGGCCATGGCCGCGTTCTCATGGGAGTCCATCTTGATGAACGCAAATCCTCGGTCAGCCTGGAATCGAGACTCGACAACGAAGCCGAAGTTCTGGAACAGAGGCACTACGTCGTTGGGAGTCGTGTAAGGGGTGAGGTTTCCGACGTAGACGGTGGTCTGCCAGCTGGGCGTTTGGGTTAAGATGACCTCGTAACTAGCGACGCCATGAGCAGGGAATTGGTGGTGTCCGTAAGGAGTGGTGGGAGTCATGCCCATCGCCGACATAGCCTGCTGCTGGGCCATGGAGGGTTGCCCCTTTTGGTTCGCCCAGTTGCATCGGATAGCTCGCGAGCCGAGCCATTCGCCATCCATAGAGCTCAGCGCCTTCTCGGCCTCGGGTCGGTCACGGAAAGCAACAAACCCGTAGCCTCGAGATCGGCCAGTCTTCATATCCCACATAACGCGAGCCTCAGAAACGGATCCAAAGGCAGAGAAGGCTTGAAGAAGGACCTCGTCGTTGACTTCATTGGACAGGTCGCCAACGAAGATGTGGAAGTGGTTCGAGGTATCCTCCTTGTTCGTGGTGTTTGACTGATAGGCCCAGTTGACACGGATTTCCTGTATAGCATGTTAGTGTTAAGTGTCCATCTTCGAATTTCGGGTTGTGTCGGGGTACGGTACCGATTGATGAACTCGTCGTCCGTTGAGAGTCTGCATGGCACGCTCAGCGGCTCCAGGGTCGTCGTACTCGACAAAGCCATAGTTGTAACCACGCGCCTAAGGGGGTAGATGTTAGCTCGTCATCTCTACAAGTTTTCTGCTCAGCCAAGAACTTACATTCTTATCGGGGATGATCTTGACGTTCTGAACGTGACCCGTAGTCTCGAAAATTTGACGCAGAACTTCCTCGGTCACTCGCTGGTCCAGTCCACCAATGTAGAGAGCACGCTTGTTAGGCTCAGGGGCGGCGCGACGAAAGCCACCTGCGCTGGTGGGCGACATAATGCCTCCATTGTCGGCGGATCTGGGAGAGGTGATGGCAGTCGGAATCGGGTTGGTGTTCTGAGGGATATGAAGAGGCGGAGGGGCCATAGGCTGGCCATTCTGACCAGCTTCATAGCCAGGGGCGCCAGCACCAGCCTGAGGAGGAGGCGGCAACTGGCCTGGGTTGGAGGGAGCACCAGCGTCGGCCATGTTGATAGATGTGATGTTGAGTCAAGTCGAAGAGGGTGTTACAGAGAGATGGGGGGAAGAGATAGACAACAGAGGTAAGAGGTAGTAGAGTAGGGATTGGAGCTACCTATTAGCTGTGCTGTGTTGTACCGTAGTTGATCGGTGGAGGTGGAGAGTCGGCGGTCGGTGACAATATGTATGTACTCGTACCTGGGTATTTGACAGGACAGGGGTCCAAGTGGACGAGTCGACAACCCGGAGCTAATTATGACACGGTGGGCACAGAGAAAGAGAGGGAGGGGTCTGGTAGTTTGGCTCTGGCCTGGTAGCCTGGTCTGACAACGGGGTCCAGACGAAAGCAAGGGACGGTGATTATTGTGGAAACTCCAACGTCGTTGAAGAAGCCCTGAAGTTGACACGCAAGCTGCGGAGGCGCAATGTTGGTTCAAGAGGAGATTGCTAGTGCTCGAATCGCTCGTTATGAGTTTTTGGGTGTAATATAAGCTGCGGTAGTACTGCAATACGGGACAAACGAATGAATTTAGATGTTAGCTTCAGCCATGAGACGTGGGGTCGTTAATTTGTTGGAGATGAGAGCTGTTAGGCTGGTGCTGGCTGGAAGAAGCCGGTGCCACCTTGTTTGTAGAAAGACCCAACTTTAATATGAGATGCGATGAACGAATAAGCGCCGGCGTAGTGGAAGAGAAATGGCGATCCGAAGGGAGAATCGCGGAGGGGGAAGCAAATAGCAGCGAGAAAATGAAATCGAAGAGAGAAGGAACTGCAGATCCTGAAGGGAACTTATCACGAGGATCACTCTAAAAACTACAAACGTTTGGTGAGGAAGTATAATTAAAGGGGCCCTGAAGAGAAAAAAAAATAAGAAAACAAATTCTACACAAAAAAAGTCAAAGATTGATGCGATGAGCGAGATGGCAATTCCCTTGTACTTTGCACAGTCTCACGTACAGTATAAAGTAAGGTACACAGGCAGGCTGCACGTCTCTGTCTCCAAGTGATGCATTTATTTACAGCCCAGCTTTTCTTACAGACTGCTAACTCCAAAGGCAACTCAAGTGACCCTGCAGGTGATCCGGCGAATGATTGGCTGGTTAATATTTTGACCGTCCAATTTGAGTCCCTGTGTCAGGGGTTAACTATAGCGAAGGGAGAAGGAGAAGAAGTTCAAGGGAAAACGAGCAAGCATTTTTGAGCTTGTGAGATTTTAGAGAAACAGGCAGGAGACCTTGCATGATCTGAGCTGAGACACAAGCTTGGTACCGTTTTGGTACCTGACTGTCCCAAGCCTCAAAAGTGTTCCAGTGCTTTAGTATATGCATTCAATTCAAGATGCCGTGCAGCAACTAACACTCAGGAGTGTCCAATCCAAGCTTCAACCTTTTCTTCCATACTACCTGGCATACAAAGAATGCGCATGAATCAAAACAGGCGCCCGAAACCTGATATATATTCAAGCAGCACATGGCAGCATTACTCCCTACATTGTGTATCTTTGTGATCAACTGTGAAAATAGCGAAAGAGTTGGGCTCGCCAGGCTTGAGATGATTGGAGGGTGAATAGTGTTTGAGTAGAACCAGAGAGATAGATACATGTTAGTGAATAAAATATGTACCTGGGAATATGGAATTCTGAGACTTTCCCATCTTTCGTTGAAGGCATGATGAATAAAGCTCCCAGTTCTCAGATGACCTTTTCCAAACAATAGCTATCTCTTACTCACTACATACCGAGGTAGGTAGGTATCTATCTAGACACCTGGTTGTATAGAAATAAATATAGTCTAATACAGTTCTTCTCATTCATTTACTGATTCATTCATGTCTTTTTCTACTTTGACAACTTCATCATATAACTCCTTACCTTTGTAGGTTTCACTACTGAGACCACCAGTGAGTCCAAACTTCCAGGCGGGTGCACGTGATGTCGTCCCTACCGACACACGCGCTTGACTTAGTAGGTTCAGCCTCCGGGTATGTTACTCTCTACCCTTTATTCAACATGAACAATATCTTATCACACGTCTAACGTCTATCCCCACGTTACATACATAGGTCGAGTTTTTTTTTTTTGAACTAGATCCTACAGCCTATCTACAACTGACCTTCCATTTCCCACACACACACTCTCTCTCTCTCTTTTTTCTTTGTACACGCCTTAACCATGGCGTCCCAAACTTCCCCGGACCCGCTGGACGTTCTACAGGCCATGGTCGACGACGTCGTAAGGAGCATTCTTTTCTCATGTGATGAATAATTAAAAACCTTCGCTAACGCTCTCTCCAGCTAGTTCACACTGGTAAAGCCCTCAGGGCCTCGCGTAAAGATGTTCAGGGTAATGCGCAGTCAAGCCAAGCGACACTCAAGTCCAAGTTGCCTGAGTCTATTGATGGCTTCCGAGAAGCCTTACACAAGTTGGAATGGGATATTGTGAGTTTTTCAACCCTTTTCCATCTCACCATGTTTCCAATTCTCATGTCTATATAGATTGATGCCAAATCTGTCTTAATGCGTGACATCAAGAGGATACAGGAGCAAAAGCAGAAGCAGCAGCAGAGCCAACAGATCCTAAAACAGCAACCTGTTGTAGCACCTCAGCCCGTTGAGCCTCAGTCCAAGTCACCCATGGTTATTGACCTGGAGTCATCACCACCTCCGCCTCCTCAGGACCAGCCCATGACAGAACTCAAGGCCAATAAACCAGTTGCCCCTTTTCCTGACATGGGCATGGGGCTCCCCGATATCGGCCAATCTGACCAGGCGATGAAGGATGAAGCCAGCCAAAGCATGGCTCCAACTACAGTTTCCGAGCAGCCCAAGGCGAAGGGCAGCGTCTCTCCAGCGCCTACTGCGACTGCTGCCGTCGCCCCTATGGCCCCAATGCCGGTCATGGAACAAAAGTCATTAGACAACCACAACAGTGACGTGATGGACCTTACCGCTGATGGACCTCACTCAGAATTAAATTTTACAAATATGCAGTTTACGTTGGCGCCGACGAATAACGACTCGCAAGATCCATCTACCACGCAGGAGACATCGTTTGATCTGGCAACATTTGCTCCTCCTGAGGGTAATGATGATATCCTGGGTCTCGACGACCTCTTACCAACCAACAACAATCCACCGGCAAATATGTCTCAGTTGCCTGCCGGCTCTGATGCAAATGCGGTCAAGCAGGAGCCTGCCATGAATACAGACAATCAAGGGCCATCACAGGGGATGTCCAATGAAAATTTTGGCTCGGTCTTTGACGACGAAATATTTAACAACCTTGGTACAGGCGGTGGTGGTCTTGCCGACGGAACAGGCGACGCTACTTACGAGGATCTCATCAGGGGCGACGATGATACCAACTTCAACTACATGGAAAACAGCGAATTTGACGCCCAATACTTTTTCGGTGAGGGGTAATATTCCTGGTACGTAAGTAGCCGATGTGCATCGTCTTTGAGAGTCGCCATGGCGAAGCAAGGCTTAGCCAGACTACAACGTTATGGTCATTTCGATCTGGTCAAAAGTCAACTATCTTGCGTTTCTTCTGCTATATGTCAAGACGATTATGTCTTGGTTAAACGAGCAAAAACTGGTTTTGGCCATGGCGTTTTCTCTCTTTTTTTTTTCTTTTGCCCTTTGGTGGTCTGCAGCTTTCTTCAAAGGTTCAGGATATAAAAACGGGCTAGGTGTTTGGGTGTTGGGTTCATTACAAGAATGGTTTTCAAGTTAAAATGATGAATTGAAAGGTTTCTACGGGGATGGTGCTAGGTAACACGGATATCATGTTTTTATATGTACAGAAATCAAGCAGCTCTCGCTAAATGAATAGGCGCTGGACAAAAGTTACAACTCTTTGAGAGTCCGCTCCACCTCTTGCTTCTACCTAGGTATAAGACGGCATCTTCGCTATGAATGACAGACAAAAAAGAAAGCAGTACGGCTGCTGGCCTATGACAAAGAAAATTATGACAAAAGAAAACGTTGAGCATCATGATTCATTTGAGGTGTTGTAACACCATTAGGTCCTGTAGGTCAATGGCCATAAGGTCTGGGCATGCGCTCAGGTCATGTGGATGTGGTGGCGGCAGCGCGAGCCTCAAGTTCGCGACGTTTGGCGAGCAAGCTCTTGAAGGCACCAATACAGCGAACAAGAGCTTCTTCGTCGTGTGCGCAGAAGCGATAGCTCTTCTCCTCGGTAATAACCTGAAGGCAATGCTTCTTGCTCTTGCTGAGAGGATCAAGGTCGACGACATTGACAACGGCAGACATTGGCAGTATCCATCTGGCTGTATATTCAGACTCGTCCTTGTAGAGAATAAGGTTGCGTGGTCGAAGAACGGCCCACATGTCCTTCCATTGGCGCATACCTCTGCGATGACGCAAAAGGTAGAGCCGACCTTGCCAAATTACACGATCAGGGTCCTGTTCAACATTGGATACACTTATTTGGCTTGTCGAGCGGATTCCCTGGCCTGGTCGCGCGGCGGTAGGAATGTTACCGGGTGACTTGGCAGTAAGACTGTCAAAGGAAGAATCGTGAGGACGGAAAGCTTCGCTGTCGGAAAGATCGGAATGTGACGCGAGTTCGGCACCCGACATTCCCGACGACTCAAGTATCGACGATCTTCTTCTACCGCCTGCCGAAGTGACGTATCTTGGGGCAGATGATGCCATAGGTTCCGGCGAGCTTGAAAGGAAACGTTCGTGCTCGTTACGCTGGTTGCTATCGATGGGGACTGATTTCATGCCGTTGCTGGACTGTTGCGCAGAATGAGGATTGGCCAAAAACATCTCATCCTCCTCTTCGTCGATGCGCGTGTCCTTTCGTATTAAGGACATCCATTCTTGGGCGTCCTGGGCAGAATTCGCTTGGAAATGATAGTTGCGAGATGGAGAAAAGAGGCCGAAAACGTTTTCGCGCTTGTGCTTGGGATCTTTAAGTTCGGCGACAGCTGTGAGCTCGGACAGATAAAGCTGGTGTCGAAGCTTATCTTCAGTTTCGTTCTTGTATAGAGAAAGGGTATTAGGTCGCAGCACAAGGTAGACACTCTTCCATTTCTGTATTAATAGGATAGCAGTCAGTATCGTCCAAACCACTTGATGCGCATAGTGCGATGCTCTGAGAGGGAATCAAAGAGAGATCGGTGACAAAGAAAAGCTGACCTTTGTCTTTTGTGTGCGCTTCTGAACATAACCACTCTTCAACACGCGGTCAAAATCGAAACATCCATCGTTGTTTACCGGGGAAAAGACAGCTTCAAGATTGGAGCTGCGAGGTCGAGTAGAAATATCGAGTTTGGTGTCAAGCGATGATGCATGGATCGGATGCGCTGCCTTCTGAACAAGTGTTCCGGCCATTGTAGACTATGACTCTGCGTATGGTATCGAGTTCAAGGATGAGGATGAGGACGATAGTAGAGTCACGAACATTGACGGTTCGTGTGGGAAATGGGCGGCGTTTTATTATCAAGATTGCGCAGCAATCAATCGAGTCGAGCGGTCGGGAATCAGCAGAAGTGTAAAAGGTAGAACTCTTATTGTATAACGTGAAGAGATTGATCGATTTGTCGAGAGTTGAGAGAGGTTGGGACCACAAGCAGGGGTGCGAAACCAGGTTATGCCGTAGAGATAGATGCCTGATGTTACAGGAGAAAGTCGTGGAAGTCGATATGCTGAGTTCGTGGACGTGGAACGTAATACTGATGCGGAATATAGTTGGTGAGACCTGAGGAGATGAGTCTGGAGCAGATGGGCGACGGTTTGGCAGTGGTTGTTATGGTAGATTGTTTTGTTGACCGTTATGACAGATTATTTGGTGTCACTGGGATGAGTACGTACGTAAGTGCAGGGAAGGGGATAGTAAAAAAAAAAAAGAAGTTGATGATGGATCTGAACAAGGATAAGGAGAGACGAGAGGACGATGATGTATTATGAAAAGAAAGGAAACGAGTTGTGATGGTTGATCGAATGAGAAGGTTTGAATGACGATTGAATGGAATGAAATGGATGGAATGGTGGGTGTTATGTTAATTGCGGGTTTTGTTGCTAATAATATTAGGGAAAAAAAGGGAAAGGAAAGGAGAGTGACGACGGTAGGTACAGGTACAGGGACAGGTACCTCTGTAGTTTCGATCGGCAACGGGAACGGTGGTTGTTGCAGAATGGTAAGAGGGGGAAAAAACAATGCAATGGGTCCAATCCATCCAGTAATGACAGGGCAGCCAAAGCTAAGCAATAAGCCAAGTCGTAGATCTACAGGCCCGGTACTTTTTCGGTACAAGCTGACAGGGCCTGCCAAGGGACAGCAATCGCTAAATTACAGTGATAGCTTAGGTATTTCTAGCTCGATGCCAAGTATCGGGTGCCATGCAAGGATGTTGTTGTTAGGTAGGTTTGCTCGCACGCCGACTAGGGGGATGGCGTTTCAGGCTTTCTTGTAGAAATGATGGTTGTCAGTTAGCGTTAAATTTATTTTGATCGCCTGTGAACCAAGCAAGCAAAGGCCATGTTTCCTTACTGATGCACTACAGTATGTGTGTACGCGTCCACGAGGCAATACAGCGGTCAAGACTTTAAGTCATAGAAGGAAGCGATCAAAACCTCAGGTAGACATTCGGTATAGTTACCTGTCATATCCACCTGCGTAGCAGCTGGATCATCAAACTATTGAAAACGGATACAAATCTTCCATCGTCAATCAATTCCTTTTCGCATCCGGACTCAAACAGCAACCAAGGAATGGATGAGGGGTTCATTCTCAATTAAGGTTCATGATCTTGTTGATCACGTCTCCCGTCAGCCGGGATTACATCGAAGTGGCGGATGTACAAACGATGGCGGCCAAGACCCAGAATTAACCTAATCTGATTTCTGCGCCTTGTTGAGAGAGATGAGTCTTATGTATGATGCTGCCCCCCCTCCATCACTGTCAGTGAGAACTAAGAGGACAAGCTGAGCAGGCAGTGCTTCTTTATGGTGGTGATGTCAAGGCAGATTGTGTAGAACAAGGAGAAAATCAGTTCAAGGCTAAATCTACAAAAACAAAACAAAAAGACATCATTCACTTTCTCTAATGTACCTGAGTTTGCTTGGATGTACGGTTATTGGGCGCCATGCACAACCGTCTTGTCTGACATGCATCTGCGTACATTATTGGTAGGTGTAGGTTCAGCTAGTTACCTAGACCTAGGTAGTCAGTGCATGACGGACAACAGTTAGATATACGTCGCTTAATCTGATACAAAGCGCTTCGACAAAAAGCCCACAAGTTGTGGGCTTTATCAATGAGACGATGCTCAGCGGCTAATTCATCGAGGCTTAAATATTCAATGCTAAGGCCAGGGACACGAGACCCGTGGTGGAGAACGTAGTCCCATCAAAGCGAAACACTCATCGATAGGGAATGTCTCAGGCTGCTATTCTGCACCTGATCATTAATGCCACCTATCCTAATAAGTTTGGGGATAAAATATTATGTCTATATGTATGACTAAGGGGCGAAAATGTTGGGTTTCTTTTCTAGTGCAATACGTGTCGTTGGGTATTTACTGCATGACTGAGTCATCGGCGAAGCAAGATCTAGAGAACAGAGTAAATGTCAACAACAGCCCAGCCACTAGAAGTAAAATGCATACGCATTATGAGTTAGCGCCTGCATATAATATGAGTACCTAACTATGTCTAACTGGGAGTATTGGAAAATAACAATACCCAAAACCACCAAAACACCTGCCATCTTTACCTGCATGCCCAGCTTCACCAAATATACCTCCTCTTCAGCCATACATCATGACCTCTCACGAACAGCCCAAGGATCCGACAGATGCAAAGCAAGAAATCGCATCCAAAATAAAACACATTCTGGATGACACTTGCTTTGCCGTATCTGATCTTCGGAGGCTGACTGGAGGCACGGCCAACTTCATGTATCATGCTACTCTCAAACAATCATCATCCAAAGATAAATACCAAGATGGTGTCGTGATTAAACATGGCGAAGGCTATGTTGCAACGCATCCATCATTCAAGATATCAACATCCAGATGTGTAAGACAAATGTTCACAGCACGAATACCTACTCTCTTCGGTTCTAATGCTAGCACAGGCTGTCGAGAATGGATCCCTTGTTCATCTCGCTGCGCTCCCTCCATTACAAAACTCGTATTGTACAATATCAACTCCGAAGACCTATTACTTCGACCACGACACCAACACCCAAGTTCAGGAATATCTCCCGCATGCTCTTTCTCTCAAGGAATACGCTCTTAAGCACTACTCTTCCTCTTCCCAAACTCACAGGTCACAATGCGATCAGTTTGGCCATGCCCTAGGAGCTTGGCTTCGTGCGTTCCATGGCTGGAGCCAAGAACCTAAGCAAGCCGCCATGCGGGAGACGTTTGCGGGGAATAACGACGGGCAGGGCCTTAAAAATGTGATCAATTACCAACAGCTGCTGCAGATGGTCGATCAGCACCCAGATGTTCTTGGCGATGCAAGGGACGTTTTCCAGGGTGTTAGCGATCTAGCGGCTGGGGAGCTTCTTGATGAAACAGATCTCTGCCCTATCCACGGCGATTTCTGGACTGGAAAGTGAGTTTCTTCATTTATTCATTAGTAGCTATTCTCATAAACTAACAACTGATCAGTGTCTTGGTTTCGGACGCCCCTATAACAGGTAGTGATCGTATACCTATCCGCGTCGTCGACTGGGAACTATCTCAGCTTGGTGTCCGGCCTCTTGATCTTGGCCAATTCATAGCCGAGCTCTGGTCGCTGAAGCTATACAGGGACATAGATGCTGGCGAGTGGCTCATCCAGGCTTTTGCTGCTGGTTACGGTCTGGTAGACGATAACTTTGCATATCGTACAATCATTCAAGTTGGTGTTCATCTTATTTGCTTTGGGCGTTATTGGTCCACGACTCCAGGAGAATTGAGAGAAGGTGAGCAGCAGAAAATCATGTACCGGTTAGGCAAAGAGGTTATAGTCAAGGCTTGGAGCAGAGATCGAGAGTATTTCCAAGGACATATTCTTGGTTGTTTGTTTGGTTAGCCTATAACTATCCATCACCAAGTCATAATGCACAACATTGATAAGCTTTAGGGGTTAGCAAGGGATGGTTAAAATCCAAGTTCCATCCTCGTTGTAATTGTGGTGATTATGCGCCGTGTAAGTGAAGACATGCTCATTAGAAACCTGAAAACCATAATTTCAAACCAAAGTCGTTTATTCAGTTAAAAATATCGCATGTTAATGAGTTCTACATACATATTCATCTTTAGGTAATCTTTTTTTCCTGTGTGTCATGAGTTGTTTTCACTCGTCATGTCATGAGGATTATTTTTGGTAGTTTTGTGCATGGTCGGGCGAAGGCGGCGAAAATTTCAACTTTTCACAAATTTAACTCCAGCACACATTTGGCGCCCAATACAATTACTCAACATTTAAAACAACTTGTTCCTCGATACTTGAGCATAAACCATCCCACGGGTAATTCTATATTGTGCTCTCAACAACGACGGTCTTTCTCTTCAAAATATCAACCCCGCGCCTGGCGTCTACCCTGTATAAACCACCAAACCCATCTTGATCTTCGTATCCAACTACCTACGATGCCTGCATCGGACATCAGCCGGCCTTGTAAGAGATGCAAGGCCGAAGATTCTCCATTTCGTCTACGAACCGATCCGACGTGTCGGTAAGTTGTTTATGATTGCCCCTGCTATGAAACCTTATGATGTTTGTTCCTCATACTGATGAGTGAGTCAGCGACTGCTACATTCAGTTCGTTACCTACAAACTGAACAGACGCCTTGGTGCTCTTCATAAAGATACTCGTTCGTCAAAGGCACTCACTACTCGGAGACATCTGGCTGGCTTGTCCTTTGGACCTTCGTCAAGTGTCCTGGCTCAGATACTCAGCCAACAGGCTCGACATCACTCTGAAAACAAGGCATCTTCCCCATATGAACCTGTCATCGTTCACATTGATACGGATTTATCACATGCTGAAGGAGAATCTCCTGCCCAAAAGCTGCTCAGCGATTACCGCCGTGCTTTTCCTCACGCCACCTTTGAATGTGTTCCTCTTAAAGAGGTACTGTCTGTGAGGAGTATCGACTGGTCAACTCTACCCCTCGATGCTGGTAACCCTGAAGAAGATGCGTCTGCTCGTCTTCAACGACTATTTAATGCCTTGCCTACACTCACCGCACGTAGCGATGTTCTTCGTCTACTTATCCGTCACCTTCTTCTCCAGAAAGCTCAAGACTATGCCTGCACAGCGCTCCTCTTGGGTCACAGCACTACAGCGCTCGCCGCGTTGACGTTATCAGAGGTTGCTAACGGACGAGGGTTCGCAGTCCCGATCCAAGTTGCCGATGGTATGACTACTGTGTGCACATATGAGGCAGTCGAAGGCGGTGCCGCACAAGAGATTAGCCGACTTGAGTTTCCAGTCTACTACCCCCTGCGCGAGATCTTTCGTAATGAGATGAAACAGTATATCGATCTCGTACCCTCGCTAAAGGAAGTTGTCCCTGTCGATACAGCAGGCACGAAAGCTGGGAGCAGTGTCGTTTCCCATAAGGATTTGAGTATCGAAGAAGTGATGGCCCGGTACTTTGAAAGTGTCGAAGAGGGGTATTCTGGTGTTGTTGCCAATGTTGTGCGTACGGCTGGAAAGCTGGAGCGAGTTCCTGGGCAGACTTTCTGTGGCAGCTGTGGTATGTCACTTGATGCCGAGGGCGATTCGCGATGGGCGGGTGAGATAGGCGACGATCCTGAAGACGGACCGAGTGCAGCCGGCGCAGGCCGGCTATGCTATGGCTGCAAGAGGTCGATTCACGGGTAGAATATGAGTATCCTCGCAGACATTGAAATGAATATCCACACTAACATTCAATGTTCTGTATAACATACTGTCTATCGTGACTTCAAAAAGAACTCCCCATGCGCCACGCCGCCTTTTGGTTCCCAAAAACCCATGACCCGGGTGGTGTACGTTCCAATCGATCGTCCTGCCTAGGTGACCGCCCAAATGTATACCTGGAATATTTTCTCCCTTTTGTCGCATACAAGGGGTGCCCATTGTTTCATGCATGCCGGTAACTGTGCCGCCCATTATGTACGTCTACTCTTCTCAATTTCTGTCCAATTTTCGTTCTAGGTTGCCATGTCCATTCTGCTAGGGAGGATACGGCCCTCGATCTTTCGTACAAGCTTGTTGGTCTGTTCAGCTAAGCTAAGAGTAAGGATTGTGTGTGGTAGAATTCGTGCAAGATGAGGGAAAAATCCTTTGTATAGAGCGAAAATACCCTCGGAGCGGATGGTCTTTGCGAAACAGTCGGCGGCGCTTGTGTAAAGGTTGCCGTTCTGATTATACATACGGGACATGACAGTATCTATTATAGAAGTGTCAATAAATAGAGTGTGCAGTGGTTTACAGGGGAGACATACCAGGAGGATGCATCACACAGCAGACGACAAAGCCACTGATAGCGCTAGAAGCCAGATGCAGACCGGGACCCTCCTCCATACCGAGATGGCGAACCAGACGGCGTTTTGCAAAGAAGTATGTGGGAAGCTGAACTGAACTACCGAAGGCGGTTCGGATCATAGCAGCTTGCACACCACGGTAGAGACCACCAATACCCTCAGTACTGTAAATAGACTTGAAGCCATGCCATGCGCCCGTGTAATGGTGTTGAGTACCAACCGGCCTGAATTTTGAAAAGCTTTGAAGACGGGTCTTTACAAGGAAGAATGGACTGCCAGCTGCCGCACCGATAACTCCCGAAGCTGCACCGCAGAACATGTTGATGCCCAGATTTTGGGCATTTCCATCTTTAAAGAAGAATTTCGCAAGCGCGTTACGCATGGGATCATAGAAACCCAGGCGGCAGCCATTGAGGAGGATTTGATAGATGTAGGCAGCGCCGATGCCGCGGTAAATTTTCCTAGCTCCCTCGTTGCGTACAATGACGCTCACGCCGTGGATCGGTCCTCTGTAGTGGTGAGGTTGGTGGCCCTTATTCTGAAGTTCGCCTTGCAACTGCATGCTATTAGAAATTCACATGTTAGTCGTAAGTTCCAAACAAGTCGCGAGCCGTTAAAAAGTCTTAAACTTACCGAATTTTAACTGTCTCAAACGGGTGTGTCGCGGTTACAGCGCCGCAGGCCGCGATGCCACCAGCGATGAACGCGCTGTCGTCATAAAGTTAGCGCAAGAACGGGGCCATAATGGGAACATCGAAGTAAGCACGAGCATTGGACAAAAGCTTACCCAACGGTGGTCGACATGGCCCCGAGCTCTCCAAACACGAGGAGGCGGCTGTCGATTGCGAGTAGAAGGATATGAGTGGGAAAAGCTGGGACGGGATAAGGTCCCTGAAGGGTCGGAGAGCTCGGGAGAGACAGCTTGTCTCAACAATCGGCCACTCGACGGAGGTTAGGAACAAAATATGAAAGGTTGTTTGAGTAAAGTTCAAGAACAAGATTTTGGGAGCGTGGAAAAGAAGGGTTTCACTCCGTCACCAGCGGCTTCGGACCCTGCCTTACTTTAGTAGTACCTATAGCGGCGCGGAAATTGTCAGCGTACGTACAATATGGTACCACTTCCTAAGTGCGTCAAAAAGGTTCAAGTTTTCTACGTAATAATAAATGGAAACTATGGAATCTCTATATGGGTCTGGGCAAAGACAAATATATATATTATTGGGTACCATGTCATGTAAGGCCTACCTCCTTAGGTGCCCAGATAGTAGTAAGACGCTGACTCTAACTCGGGATGTATTGTCTACTACCTACTACCTGTTATGTTTACTTATCCTCGGTCAATAGCTAACGGAACCATAAGCCGGCAAGATCCATGGCATTGGTATTGCAGCGAAATCTGGGTGTCTGCAGCAGCATGTTAACTCCATGGACTTTAGCTGCTTTTTTTTTTTGTACTGCAAGCATTTCGACATGCCGACGTCGGCGGTCATTTTTCGCGGGGAGAGCTGCGGGTCCTTGCGTCAGTGAGAAGGGCCGCTGTACAACCCCTGAAAAGAGGAAAAGAAAGTGATGTGATTCGCTAGAGTGTCAATTCCTTGGTCTATGACGCTAGGGCTAAAGGGACGTAGAATGGAACATATCCTTTTTTCCCTTCCTACGGAGCGGCTTTACGGTTTGCTACGGCTCGCGCGTTTATATGCCGTCGTCGAATCTAATTATACCGAACATGAATTTGTTGTCATTTTGGAATTGATAAGCGTAGGGGTGGTTTCATTGGAAAGTAAATTCGGCGGCGACAGAAGTTCAAAGCTTGGGTCATTGAGATGCTCATATCCCATGCAGCCTTTGGGGCTAACATGAAAGATTATGCCCTGAAGCAATGCTACAGACACTGGAAGACGCGGGCCTTTTCAGGTACGTACCTCAAGGCTGGCTGCACCCCGCAAAAAGTGCACCCCTCCAGCTAAGAGAGCTTGGTTGCAAAAGATCCATTTCCCATCGCAAAACATCAATTTGAGTTAAACACCAAATCGAAATCAAAATCGCGGTCAACGGCATCCTCGCCCAACACCACCAGATAGACCACTTCGCCATATAATTTGGGATCAATAGCTGTACACTACTTGGCCATTTTGATCCTCACTACTTGTGACACTTTTCGACCAAAGCAATTGACGCAAACGGCTTTGTGTTGATCCCTTGATATCATCCTGCAGGCAGTCATTTCACATATCGACTCATAATGTCTTCGACACCCATGGATATCGATCGTTCCAATACACCAAATGGAGCATCGCTTAATATTCACCGCACCATTGGTACTACTGCTTCAGTCTCCAATCTGTCCGATGTTATAGGTAACTTTCGGCCTACCAAGGTAAGCTCAGCACCTAAGGCACGATAAACCATAATAATAAGTTCAATCAACTGACTTGCTACTCGCTCCATTCAGCTGTTCCGACGGGACGACATTAAGGACAACCGCCCACAGCCTCATGTGCTATCTCTCGACTACGACGATGAAGGCGAGTACGTTATGGCGTCAGCCAGTGACGAAACGATACAGATTTACCATGTCAAAGAAGGCCGCCATGATAAGAGCCTGGTTAGCAAGAAATACGGCGTGAAGCTTGCCAAATTCACACATACAAATTCGAGCATCATATATGCTAGCACAAAACAAAATGGTGGGACATTTGTTACCATAGAGCGATAACCAGAAAATGTGCTAACTAGTCGCAATTTAGATGCCATTCGATACCTTGCCACGCACGACAACTCCTTCATCCGTTACTTTGATGGTCACGAAGGGGCTGTAACATCACTGGCTGTCCATCCTGGCAGCGACAATTTCATATCATGCTCCCAGGACAACACCGTGCTTCTATGGGACACACAGACCAAGAACTACCAGGGCAAACTCTTCCTTAAGTCGCCCTACCTCGCTGCGTACGATCCGTCGGGGACAGTGTTTGCTGTGGCTTGTGTCAGCAGCGGTACAGTTCTACTCTATGACGCACGAAACTACGACAAGGCTCCTTTTGCGACGGTCGACATCGTTGAACAGTGCAGAAAGGTAGGCTCTCAATGCCTGAACAAAGGTTGGACGACACTAGAGTTCTCCAACGATGGTAAATCACTGCTAGTTGGAACTCGCGGCAGTGGCCATTTCCTACTCGACGCCTTCGAGGGCACACTGAAGGCATATCTCCACAAACCCAACGGCGGGACTCGGCGGTTGGCAGTTGGAGAGGCGGCGCAGTCTGGCGGTGATGCGTCTAATGTCGAGAGTAGCGGCGAGTGCTGCTTTGCTCCAGACGGCCGCTATGTCCTCAGCGGCTCCAAGAAAGACGTCTTGGTCTGGGACACCATGGCTGCTCCAGATGATAACAAAGTGCTGGAACCAAGCTGGACATTGCCCGATAAGAGAGAGGCTGCCGTCCTGGCTTTCAACCCACGGTACAACTTTTTCGCTACGGCTGACCAGGAGCTGTTGTTTTGGCTACCTGATCCTCATGCCTGAGCAAAATGCAAAATGAATTGTCTTGGTACACCGGAACAATGAATAGGTAGGCATTGGAAGATGAAAATCACTTGTATTTACATGATTTGGAGTAAATAATTGATACCCCTATATTAATAAAGGACTATTATACATAGCTCTCTTTTATACTTGTATACCTAATTAAGCTTACTTACTTAGTCCCTCCTCCCAGCGAAATGATAAGTATAGACCTACTAACTGTATGAGTTTGCTATTTACCTATCATATATACTAGCTTTTCTGCACTAATCTGCCTCATCCATTCCTCATCTCTATTCTCCAAGCGATCCTCCATATTACCCCCACCTAGCAGAATCAACCCATCAAGAGGGATTCGCTCAAGTCCACCTGGCATCAGACGTATAGGATTTGGAACCAGAGGCTGACACTTGGACAGCCATTTGTAGAAGGCGGTGGCAAAAGCTCGGGCAGGACGTGAAGCTGGGAGATTCATGCCATGATACTGAACCTCGACTCCAAATGCCTCCCAAACTGCCCCATAGATCGGATTACCGACTATGTGTTCGGTATCAAAAGCTCCGCCCTCAAATGACCGAACGATGGCCATGTGGCCTCCCTCCCGAAGTAGTCTGCTTGTCAAACTGACAGTCGACCCCTCTGCGATGCAGTCGTAAACGTAGTCCACGCCTTTCCCACCGGTTATATGGCGAATTTTCTCAGGCCAGTCTGTTTCTTTGTAGTTGAACAATGCGTGGTAGTTGTACGGGGCGCTTTTCAGCATCGGAAATCGAGCTCGACTCGCCGTGCCAATGAGAACAACCTTAAAGCCCTTCGAGGCCGCAGCATGGTGTACTAACTGAACTGCATACATGCCAACAGAGGTGGACGCACCGTATATCAAGAAGTATAAAGGCTGCTCCGTGGTGGACTGCTGAATAGCCAAGCCTTGAGCCACGGTCTGAACATCTTGCTCTGAGTATGGAAATGGTGCTGGAAGTTGAAGGCGATAGAAGAGAGCTTGGGCTGCGGTCAAGGCGCACAAAGACACTGCTGAAGCTTCCTGAAGGCTCATAGAGTCTGGCAGGGTCCAGAGAAGATCTGATGGACAGACAAGATACTCAGCAAACGCCCCGGGACGTTCGTTCACACTGCTGGCGCCTTGTAGAAACCCTGCCACTCTGGTGCCAGGCCGTAGGTAGCCCGCATTGCTCTCTATGATGGTACCGGCCCAGTCGCTGCCTACTGTGCGACCAGTTGTACCCAGGGGCTCCGAGACGTAGAGGGAGTCTACTGGGTTCAATGCAACGCATTGCACGCGGACCAGGACTTCGTTCTCCCCAACTACCGGTTTCGGGATGCTTTGAACTGAAGCCGTTCTGCGCTCAGCATCTAAAACAAGCGCTTTCATTGTTGTAGTTTCCATTCCTATCAGGGCTTAGAATGCTGCAGTTGTAAATATACAGTTAGGCCTAACAGTTATCTGCAATTTATAGTCGAGAGAAGACATTCCTAAGAGGTAGCTCCTATAAGATAGCAGATTGATCACGCCTTATGCTTTGTAAGCTACCATATAGAGTCGCCAGTAAAAGTTGATCTTGCTGATTCTTGTATTAGAGCTAATATCACATATACGAATTGCTGAATTAGGTATAAGTGCACAAAACTGCCCAAGCACCATGCAGCTACATTAGGTGCTAGATCGTATACCAGTTACATTATACGATTACTTAATGTTCGCCCATTGTTATGGATCACATCTTTGTGTAGACATCACGTAATAGGTTATATAGAACGTCGCAGATGGACTGATAAAGTTAACAGCCTGACCCTTACACAGCCCACTGGTAGCCTAAGACCTTACCAGCTTATTATTTCCTGCACCATGACCCATTCTACTCCTCGGAGCCTCAAAGATCCAACAGTCGCTTTATCCTCATGGTTATGGAATACTACATATCGTTGACGAATTGTGACCCAGGCGTCTGCAGCGCTGGAAAACAAGGGGGCATACTCATCCTCAAGCTCCCGGCCCCATTGTACAATAGCGAGTGCAGCACGGTTGTCCCAAAGTCCATCTACTTGTATATTGAATGTGCCTAGCAGTCTCTCTGCATCCGCACGGATATTGGGGTTTCGACACTTGTATCCGCACACTAGTCTGTAAGTAAGCACTGGCGTTTCTATAAAATAAACCCCTTAAAAGACTCACAGAATAATGCAAACACCGGGCTACATATCGTAAATGGTGTTATCTTGGTAATGTATGCCCTTGGTAATTGGTCTGCCAATATTATAATCTCTTCGAAATAGGACTCCACCGTCACGAGACCTTCATAGTCGGTACACTGCGAGGCTTTGACGCTTGTGTAGGCTACTATCCACTGAATTCGGAGCAGCAAGGCATGAGAGAAACGCCCAGAATTGTTGTGGCATCGCTTGCGCGCGTCCTGTAATGTGCGCTCAAATGCGTTTTCCCATGCATCGAGAAGAGCCAGCAGACCAACTCTCAAGTTCACCCAGGCTTCATCTGTGGCAAATCCCGAGATATCACCTTGGTAGGCACGTGTGGCATCGAGGAGACCCTTGTAGATAGTGTCCAGCCATCGCGCTGCGTCCTTAAGGCTCTCGAAGGACTCTGGTATCCGAGCCACAGGCAACTTGGGCGTGGGGCGAGAACTTGAGGTAGTTTGCCACAACGACTGCGCCTGTAGGGCAAGATGGGAATGAGAAATCATAGTTAGCCGTTGGAAGATTTGTATGATCAGTCCATCGACCGCAAAAGGGTCTGGGGAGTCCGGGCAAGCAGCAAGTTCAGCCTGCGGACATAACGAGTAAAGGAATTGCTGAAGTATACGAAGGCCATGAAAGACGTGGTTATGTACTGCATGGCGGTTTCCATCGAGAATATCAAAACAGATGAAAAGGATACAGCACAGTAGAACTGTGCGTATTGTCGTTCTGTTCAAGGAGGAGCTGACAACGCTGCGCAATGCAACAATGTACCTGCTAATAGCCTCATCGTAAGCAGGCGTCCCGGCAGCTTTGCTGCCGAGCAACAAAGCGTGTCTCTCATCTAGGGCCGTTTTTAGACATCCAACAGCCAACATGGCTTCTCGGATGGCCAGGTCAGTAAAGCTGAGTTGAGTGATTGCGGACGAACACAGCTCGGATAGATCGTCACCGCAGATGATGTTGCTAAATTGCACCCAAACCTCGAAATAATTTTGTTCGCAATGTGACTTGAAGAAGCATTGGCCGAATGTTTGAAAAGGGATTTTGGGGGACGACTTTGTTTTGGGATTTACACGACTTGCAGCCGCCATTGATTGGAGTTCGGCATCGTCTGTGCTATAGCCTCCACAGAAACCTCGCCACTTTAAACATTTCCTACAGTGCGGTCTCGCCTCATCGCATCGTATGTGCCTCTTTCTTCCCCGTGGTTAGCACGACTGGCATTGCTTGTTGTGGCTTGATAGAAGACTTACTTGCCTGGACTCGTCGGTTAGCTGTGCTGGGGAGTGGGTAACATTTAGTATGCTCACATATTATACATCCAGTGCGGACTTTGGGTGCACCTTTCCGGGATGGTCTTGACAGCGGTTTGATAGAGAAGCTGCTCATCATGCTCCTTAAATCGTCTTTCTGGGAATAAGACTCCTGCTCACAAGCCAGCACAGACGAGGTGCTCTTATTGACAAACATCTTTTACTTGATGTTATTAAACAGCTCGATGGGCAGCGGAAACTGGAATGTTGTAGTGTGACTGTCTGGTATAATGTTAAATATTTAGTTGTTGTTTTAGCTATAATTTATTTAGATAGTTGATATAGTAATCTGATTTACTTGTCGTTGATATTAGATGCGACTAGATCATATTAAGAAACTCGTAGCTGCGCCCCACACTCCCATCGGCGACCTACGATGCGACTAGTCCATCTTGGGAAACTCGTAGATGCGCTCCACACTGACTTCCCATTAGCAACCGTATAAGTTGTAACCACCTCTATGCTGCTTTAGCAGTTCATTTGGAGCTTCTGCAGATTACAGCTTGCTCTTTACAGGATCGACTTGGACACATGTGGGAATAACCATAGACTATTACGTTTACTAAATAATGCTTACTACGAAGCTGCAACATTCTATAGGATTGGTCAGTCTATGACAGTTCGACCGGCGAACTGTCAGAAATCTCGGCGCTACGGCATGACGGTTTATGAAGTCAAATGCAGCGACTTGCACCTATTTAAAGCGTCATGTTGCCCAAGGTTTAAGCCGCCAATCGCCTTCAACACTATCGTTCCATTTATCCCTCTTGCTACTGCTTAACTTCAAAGGCAAAAGAAAGCTCGAGGTCAAACATGTCCGCAAAGTCGACAACACCCGCAGCCACAGCGCAGGAGATTGCGCAGCATGGCTGGACAGCGATAGCTGTTGATAGTGAAGCCATCTTCAAGGGCAAGGACTATCTGCACAGACCAGACACTGTCAGCATGGAGGAGATGCCCTTCCCACACAACGATCCCATTGTCCAAAAGGTCTACCAACATGTTAAGGAGAAACTTCCGACCCTAGTGTTCAACCACTCGATGCGAGTCTACCACTTTAGCATAGTCATTCTGAAATACCAGTTTCCCGAGTTTGCCCAGGACCTTTCACACAGCACCATCGCCCTTGCCGCACTTCTGCACGACATTGGCACCGTCGACGAGTTCATCACGTCGACTCTGCTGTCATTTGAGTGGTGGGGAGGCTACCACAGCCTGCGACTTCTCGAGCAGCACGGCGCGAGCTCGCAGCAGGCCGAGGCAGTAGCCGAAGCCATCATCAGACATCAAGACATTGGCACCGAAGGCACAATTACGTTCCTTGGCCAGCTGCTCCAGCTCTCCACAATCTACGACAACGTGGGATTTCGCCCCGAGCTCGTTGACCAGACCACGCGGAGCGCTGTGGTTTCGGCCTTCCCACGAACTGTTGCCGGTGCGGACGGGGCGCATGAGACTTGGAGCCACTGCTTCGCGTCCACCATCCGAAAGGAAAATGGTCTGAAGCCATGGGCTCATACTACTCACTTGGGAGAGTCCGCCTTCCCCGAAGGCGTACTGGCCAATGGAGAGAAAGGCTTAATGAGCGAGTACGAGAAGTAAGGGAATGGTATTTAGGCGTGCATCGTTCTCAGTCACGACGCCGGCGGCAGTGTTTCAGGCCTGCAGGAGAACATTGAGCGTCTAGTTATGATATATCTGCAACACTTGATATATTACATATTACTTATACTATTACTTAATGTTCATTCATTACTATTACATCTTGCAAAGCTGCAGGGCGAGGGGAAATTCAGTATGGAACTCTGGAAATTGTGAAAACCCACCAAGTAGTTCTATAGTTAACTCAAGCAGATGTTAAGCATTGTGAACCCAACCTATCCACTGCTAGAAGCATACAAGACGAAATCAGTAGGTCAATTTATGCTATTTAGACTTTTAGGCTATTCATTTATGTATCCTCAAGCTTAGAGGTCAAGTGAATAATTGGAATCGATTCACGTTGGCTTCTCAGTTTGCCACCAGCTCTAGAACATCATCTAAGACCTCAACGTTTGCTAGTTGAGGACTTGCACCGTGCTTTATCAAAATTCGGCCAATATCTATCCGTCCTTGCCTCACATAGTGCCATAGCGGCCGGTGCCCGTCAACAACTATGTTGAAGTGCTTGATTTTCTTGCAGATAATTTCTGCCATGTCAGCTTCTTCTTTCGCATATCGTGGATTACTGCCTGGCGTTGTAAGGTGCATGATGGGAAGCTGGTCGCCCTCCAATTTGGTGAGATCGTGGTCAGGTATTTGATCAAGGTCAGCCTCGGCCCCAAACTCTAGAAGCATGTTGACAACGCAGTGATTCCGGCTCGATTTCAAAGCATCCGCAAGTAAGAACCTCTTGCTATTCGTCGCGATGCTGAGTGGGTTTGACGAAGCACCGGCTTCCAAAAGAATTTGGACGACTTCAATGTATCGTGTCAGTGCGGCCATGCGTAGAGGGTTGACTCTGTCAATCTTATTTGCATAAATATCCGCGTTCGCATGGAGGATAAGATAGCGGATAGCACCAAGTTGATCTTGGTGGATGTCTGATAGGTTGAGAGCACCACCACCGTGAGGTGTGTTGAACTCTTTCTGCCAGTCGCACTGATCCCTTGGTCCCCAGGATATGAGATGGCATAATGCAGTTTCGTCTGAACCGCTGTGAGTCACATTGACATCGGCTCCCCTTTTGATAAGAAACTTGACCTTTGCAATGTGTTAGCACTTAGTTTAGGGATTGTAGCCCCTGGCAGCCTTTACTTACTACGTCTTCGTTCAATGCATAGGCCAATGGAGGAAGGCCCTTTCCATCTGGGGCATCCGGATCAGCGCCAGTGCTTATAAGTAATTCGGCAATGGCTGTATTTCCGCGCAGACACGCCAAATGCAAAAGACCACTTCGGCTCCCCCAATGCAAGTATCCATAACTTAAAGCTGGACCAGAAGGCCCCGTCTTCTTCGCTTTCTTGCAACGCAAGTTGTAGAGGGTTCCGTTGTCGAAAGTCTGGTCGATTTTGCGCTTGATATTTACCACGCCAGCTCTTCGTAGACCTTCTAACGACATTTTGGCTGCCTCCAAGACTCCGAACCAGCAAGCCCACTGGAGGGCCAGGGGCATATTTGACTCAGAGTTGTCAACCCCCAATGAGTTCCTGACATCGTTGAGATAAAGATGAGGAAGGGCATGGGTGGAAAGCTGCTTGCACGTGTGTGCCAAATTGAGAAGGTTGCTATAAGGGTTTGGCAGCAATGAAATCTCGTCCATTATGAGGCCCTTGATCTCTGTAGGAAGCTCTGTTTCGTGGTTAGAACAGTCACATGTAGTTCCATGGAAGATCTACCTTCTAAGCAAGTCATTTTGCCGCTGATACATGTTTTGGTCATTTTTGGCAATTGGTATATTTTCTTCAATGACTCGAGATGTTGAAGACCAACTACCTGTTCAGTGGTTCAAGCCCTTTGATCTCCTTGAACAGCTTGACATAGGCTATAGCAATAGCTGCCGAACGGGAAAGAGAAATATCAAAGATGTGGTGAATCAGAATTGTTGTGAAAATAGTTGCGAGATATGACGGCTGAGGCGATGATTGTAGCGTGGAATCTGGTAGGATGAAAACGGATGAGGTGGATGTTTATGCTGAGGAGAAATGCAAGGTTTACCTGGTTGCGCCGATGTCCTATATTTATTCCCAGAGTGATAAATCAAAGAAGTCATCGGGTTGATGAAAGAAAGGGACGGGATTGGGTGGACAATGCTTGACATCTGCCTGCACAGTTGCCTAAAAGACAACAAGTACAGCAGGGACCATCAGCCATATGAGCCAAATTTAGCTCTCTCTGCCCCTGCTAAATTTTAGAGAAAATATGGTAAATAAGAAAGACTAGGAAAGTGAGTTGTTGAGATAAACATCAAGTATTTCGATATGTTGAAGTTCCTATCCGTTAGGATCGCTCATTTAGATTTCGCAAGAAATTGAGACTCAATGCTCAAGTTTGGGTCTAAAGATCTAAAATATTAAAAATAACAGATATCCGTAGCAAATTTAAAAATTCACCCCTAAGAGTTAGAATAAGAAATAAATATCCCAAGAGTATAGTCCAACTAGCATAAACTGACTTACTAATTTCGTCCCTTAGATAAACCTCCTATGGTCAACTTTTTTTTTAAGAGGTACTTACCCTGAATCTATAGTGTTGTGGCGTCCATTCCACCCATGGCCCCTCACCGAGCCCCACCATTGTCGATTGTCACCTTTCAACCTCAATCAACTCTCCACACCAAGACAGCGAACGACATCGCACTTATAGGCGTCAACGCTCGACCTCCTACAGCATAATTTATATTATATGCACTAGAAAGAAAAGAAAAATTCTCTCTACAGTAAAGGAAGCGCGAATACCATTGCGCATTCTTCCCTTGCCGAACCGCAACCTGCCAGCACACGACCACGAGCTTCAAGATCAACAAACGATATCATACAAAACTCGTCAATATGGTGTACCTTAAGACAAGCCAGGAATGGCTTGATCAATCCATGGCACTCCTGGAAGCCCGCCCCTCAACCGTACGTCCTCGCGCCAACCGCACAGTTGCGCAATCAACTAACTAACCACCACAGACACATATCACCACATCATACAAGCTCAAGCCTGGCCCAACACGACCTGATGCCGACGGCGACACACCCGTGACGAAGCCCCCGCGTGGCGCCCTAGTACTCAAGGCATTCGATCCTATCAGCGGAGTTACGATCAAGTACCGTACCACAAAGGCGCAGGAGGTAACTCGTCTCATTCACGCCTCGCTGGGTCGTCTGGGTAGAAGTCAGGCTGCCGTTCCGGATGTGCCAGAGGTGACGATGGCAGACGCAGAGGGTACAGAGGAGGTACAGGCTGCCACGTCCACACCGCAGGCGGCACAAGGTGGTGGTGGCGGCGGGAAGAAGAAGAAGAAGGGCAAGAAATAGGTCAGTGAGAAGCTGAAGGTTATTTTATTCAGAAAGGGATTTAGCGGGGGGAATATTCGTGGTGGCCAGGATATTCATTGTTTGAGGTCTTGAGATTTGACGGCATTGTACTAAGTACCACACACAACCTGGATAAATTTCAGAAACCGACGTCGCAAGTATCAACAAAAAAGAATCAAAAAACTATACATGCATTTACGAGTGTTGGGTTGATGTGAGTGTTTGGCCCTTGTTGACGCTCACACACTAACCAACAATGTCCGAGTCACGGCAGCGGTGTATATGTTTACAAGCCACAAGGGAATACAACATGTATACTAATCTAATCAATTCATCTCTATCTAAGAGAGTAGGAGAGTGCTATAATATCGTCATCCATCAGCAGAATTAATCTGTCAATGCTGTTTTTCATCCGCCCAAGTCAAAATCCCCGAAACGCCATGTCGATCAGCAAAAATCCATCCTCAGGATCTAAAGCATGATCGCAACCTTGCCAACCGTAAAATTAACCAAGCACTTCCCCGAGGCTCGTCTCAAATGTACAAACAAGAAGTAAAACAGGGTATATGTTCATGTGTTCACGTGCCCATGAGCAACTGCCCGGGCCAAAAGAAAAGGAAAACGACGAGACGATGGGCTTAGAAGTCATCGTCAAAGGTGAAGTCACCGCCGTTCTCGCCCTTGGGTGCCTCCTCCTCGTCAGCCTTCTTGTTGGCGCTGTGGAGGACACCGGCCTTTTGGTAGTCGGCAACGCGCTTCTCGAAAAAGTTGGTCTTGCCACCAAGAGAGATGTTCTCCATGAAGTCGAAGGGGTTTGTGGCCTTGTACACCTTCTCGTTGCCGAGAGCAACGAGCAGACGATCAGCCACGAACTCGATGTACTGCTTCATGAGGTTGGAGTTCATGCCTAGAAGACCACAAGGGAGAGCCTCAGTAAGGAACTCCTGCTCGATGGTAACGGCATCGGTGATGATGTCCTGGATCATCTGCTTGCTGGCACGTCCCTTAAGGTGAGAGTGGAGGAGGCAGGCAAAGTCGGTGTGAAGACCCTCATCACGGGAGATGAGCTCGTTGGAGAAGGTCAAACCAGGCATGAGGCCACGCTTCTTGAGCCAGAAAATGGAGGCAAAGGCACCGCTGAAGAAGATACCCTCAACAGCAGCAAAGGCAACAAGACGTTGAGCAAATGAGGAGTCTTTGTCCTGGATCCATCGAATGGCCCAGTCAGCCTTCTTTCGGATGCAAGGAATAGTATCAACGGCGTTGAAGAGGTATGTTCTTTGGGCAGGCTCCTTGATGTAGGTGTCAATGAGCAGGGAGTATGTCTCGGAGTGGATGTTCTCCATCATGATCTGGAAACCGTAGAAGCATCGAGCCTCGGGGATCTGGACCTCGCCGCTGAATCGCTCAACAAGGTTCTCGTTGACGATACCATCGGAGGCAGCGAAGAAAGCAAGAATGTGGGAGATGAAGAACTGCTCATCTGTAGTCAGACGGTTGTTCCAGTCGTGGAGATCCTTGGAAAGATCAATCTCCTCGGCTGTCCAGAAGGAGGCCTCTGCCTTCTTGTACATTTGCCAAATCTATCAGGAAATGTTAGTATGACGGTTTAGTGGGGCACCACTTTACGCGTCAAAACGCGTTACTTACCTCATGGTACTTGATGGGGAAGAGAACAAATCTCTGAGGGTTTTCTTGAAGGAGGGGCTCGTCGGCTTCCTCAGCCTTAATGCCGGGGGCAGGAGCGGTCTTAGGCTCTTCCTTCTTGGTCTCCTCAACAATCTTTGTCTTCATCTCGGTGGTATCGGTGGTTTGGTTGAGAGGTTCGTTTTCCTTGTTGGCGGCACCGAAGTCAAGCTTCTTGATAGGGGACTCCATGTTGAAGCTCTCAATTGCGGAAGCAGCCTGTTAATCAGAAATATTAGCGACAGATTCGAGTGTAACTGTGAACGACGTCACATACCTGCTTCGAAGGAGTCATTTGCGCAGCCATTGTGGTATATGAGTGTCAGATCGAAGAGAAGTGAACAAAAATGATCAGAGTGATACAGAAACAAGACAAAGGATTTGTGCTTGTGTTGAACTCTCGAGATTAAGTGGTGATGGTTGCGGTGGTGATGGTCTGGTCCAAAGTAAAGAAAGAGATGAAGGCGACGGGCTTTTGTATAAGTCTGAATACGCTGTCACGTGTAGTGGAGCGCGTCGCGCTGGGCAATACGCGGTGGATACAGCAATAGCGGGCCACTTTACTGCGCTGGGTATCACTGCGCGTCACTGGGTGAACCAGGGGCTTTCGGCGCATCTAAGACGCTAGCGCTCGAGCTGGTACCATGAGAAACTCCAACCACCAGGATCATTAAAGCAAATCTGGTCAAGGGGGACGCGTAGAGACGCGTCTCGAGCGGGTTCATGTTCGTCTTGGGCATGGCTCCAAGTCAATACTTTGCGTTTTTCGCCAGAACACTCCACTATCCCTGTACGGTACCTGCTTCATGGCAGGGAGTGATGATTCAGGCTTTGTCAGGGTTTTGAACGTCATGACCGGATATTTGTCACTTAGCACGCTCTGTGGAGTATTTTGTGTACTTTGACCTTAAGGCACATGTCTCGTCTCACGTTGTTAGGCCAATGTATGTGGGATGGGTTGTGTTAAGGCATGATAGTGGTGCGAGACAGGATCCAACTTAGCTCATGAGATGATGTTCAGCAGAATATGGGTGTCATGATGAGCTTCATTAGTACCATTTAGGCGCCATTGACATATAGAAATCTCTGCAAATCGTAAATTTAGCTCAGTAGGTATCACTGTCTTTGTCAAGCTTCCGTCGATCCCTTCCTCCTTCCGTGGGTGAGGAACGCGTTTCTGGGGATACACACCGCGTCCTAGCCTAGGCCCTGAATCTGACGTTACCAGCAGGCATGGATCTATCTTACGGTGTTGATGCGCCTCCTACTCCTCGATCTCGCCTGTCCAACCCTTTAAATTGTAACGAAATTAGGATTGGGCCATTAATTAGGTTGAGCTAGCCATGAAATGAACTTTATTTAGTACGAGACATGTTAGATTCTTGCATCATCGCATTGTTCTTTTCTTTGTGGCTTGATTGTCTGTTGCTAGGACGATAAAATGCCAAGTAAAGTTATCAGATCTCATTCTTTAATTTGATTTGAGGATACTGGAGCTCCGTGCCCTTCTGCATCCACTTTGTTTTATCAATCAAGCAGGGTTATGGTTCCTGAGCAAAGTTTCGTACAGCATATACATATATTATTCGTAGACAATATGATAATTAATAAAACATGACTCCACGTTCCCATCATACAAGCATCAAGGTACCACACTAGGCGAGGTACTTCACCCCATAACGAATATTTCTGACCCACGAGCATCTTGCCATCTGTCCCTTTGCTGTGAAGGTAAATCCGAGTCACCGAGTTTAGCGTCGCTCCCTGCGCGGCGATCTTTGGCGTCGAGATCCACGCCCAGCTTCCCCTGTTTCGATATCATCCGGCCGGGCTCTGCTGCGACCGAAGAATCCACGGCTCTCGCGAACTCGCGCCGGTACCGGCTCGACGGGGCGATCATCACGACGGCGATCCCGGCTGCGGCTGCGGCTGCGACTGCGTTGACGACGGTCTGACATGGATGGATTTCGAGATGGTGGGTTCGAGATGTACTCGGGCGGATCTTGTGCCTGAAGCCGATCAAACTCGTCTGCTTCACTGGGATCAACGGCCGGTACCGGTAATCCGCTCTTCTTCAGGTTCTTGCGTCCTTCCTCTCGCAGGTGGGACTCGAGGAGCACCACATTACGAGTATTACACTTGTACGCTGCATCCACCAGATCGCCAGCAAAAGGAACAAGTCCGACGACAAAATCGACCAAGATATTAAACACCATTTTACCCTTGACCGAGGTGGGCAGTCCACCATCGATCTTCATGCACGATCTCATGACCAAAAGGGCGAGTAACATATCCAAAACGTCGCCGATTCTTAAAAAGCCATGTTAGTATCAATCATGCAGGGTGGATTCGGATTATGCGATTCAACTTACGCAGGAACCAGTCCTATAACGCTGCCCCAGCCGAAACGGATACCGAAGCAACTGAAGAGACACAGGTCTAGCCGATAAGCTCGACGCTTAACCTTGGTCAAAACCTTGGCATCATTGTCGGTAATGCCAGGAGGAAGAGCCTTCTTGCGCTTCTTTACTTTGCCATTTGCTTTTCCACCCAGACGAGTCGCGGGGACATGGTCAAAGTAAGGGTCCTGCGGATAACGGGTCAGCACTATGCGTTAAGTAATGTGGTGAGTTGATGTGAGTATACCTCAGTTCCAAATTTGTTCGCGACAGTCTCTCCTAGGATCTTCTTGGTGACGAGCTTTGTGATGATTGAAGTCATATTGCCCCAGGTGTGCCACTTCCCTTAATGGAGAATGTTGTTGTGCTGGCCAAGAAAAGGAAGATTTCTGGTTTTGATGATATCGATGCGGTGGAGCTTGGTAGCGACAAATAGGCGATGAAGTAAGGAATTACCACTATCAAGAATGTCACTGCTCGATATTCCGAGACAGAGGAAGGCAGGCCAAGACAATGAACAGGCGCCTTTCTTTATATGGAGGTGGAACAAGAGAAGTCTTCAAGGGTCACCAGCCTTTACTCTTTGATTTATTGGGCAGGCTTGTTGCGCGACTGGTCAATTACCTGTTTCCAAGTATTTATGATCCGTGGTCAGAGGGAGCCCATTTTGTCATTGAGCGATGATGTAATTCTAGCGACTACCCGAACGCCTGGGAACCCTGTAAAACTGGCGTCGTGTTTTAGCTTACAGGCCCCTTAAAGTCTGGAACATCACCTATTTCATGCTAAACGGCTCAACAAAACCTGCTCAGCTGCTACTGCAATGTAGATCCCGCGTATGTGCTGGCATATATTGTGGTGGCAATAAGTAACGTATGAAACAAGCAACGGACATTTACAGTTTGGCTCAGATCATGCACCGCCACAGTAGATGAACTCATCTGTGGCGACTGCCCTCAATAGCGTGTGGCTCAGACAACTGCTAGCTCGAGCATGGCACTCTGAGTTGAGTGAAGCAGTTAGCATGGAGCTTTCCACCTACCCTAGCAGCTTGGGTTAGTACCTTAGGCGTGAATGAGTTATGGGTCTTCTTTGTTCTGACTGACCCGATTGTGATGTTGTCAAACCTGACAACAACATCAGCAAATCATATTTCAAACCGACCATTTTCGGCTCTTGCACCGCCGCTTCGACCCCGCGTGTCAAAAAGAGACGTTGCCTCTCAACATCCGCTGCAAAAGGCAATTCAGCACAACCGCAACGAAACGAAGCGAAGCGACGCATCACCTTGACTCAAACCAAGTGACCGCTCGCGTCTTTTTCGCTTGTCACAGTCGTCCTTTTGCGTCATCTACCTAGGCTGTCGCACGTTAACCATGGTCAGCTTGCCTTCGCAGCTACGTTCGCATTATTGTCTCGCAAAGTCTTGAGAAGGAATAAACAAACAATAAAATCAGAGAAAATAACAACCAAAATTTGCATCTTCACAATAGCATGAACCGAAGGATTCTGTCATCATGTCTGGAACACAAATGCAGTTAGAGGATTGTATGTGCTGTGTTGGTGGGCGCTGCGCAATCGCGAGCATGGACTAACACAACCGACATAGGGCTGGACGACCTCTGCGTCCGCTTCATCATCAACCTTCCCCAAGAGGATCTCTCCTCCGTCGCTCGAATATGCTTCCAAGTCGAAGAAGCCCAATGGTTCTACGAAGATTTCATCCGTCCGCTGGACCCGACTCTACCATCCATGACCTTGCGTACTTTTTGCCTTCGCATCTTTCAACACTGTCCCTTGTTAGCCAACTTTTCCGTTGAGAACCACACCAAAGCGTTCGAGGAGTTCCTGGAGTACAAGACTCGCGTCCCAGTACGAGGTGCTATCATGCTAAACGAGGCCATGGACTCGACAGTTCTGGTCAAGGGATGGAAGAAAGGCGCCAACTGGAGTTTCCCGCGAGGAAAGATCAACAAGGACGAGGACGATTTAGATTGCGCCATCCGAGAAGTCTACGAAGAGACTGGACTTGACCTTCGAGCCGCGGGCTTAGTACCAACCGAACATAAACCCAAGTACATTGAGATCGCGATGCGTGAACAGCACATGAGGCTTTACGTGTTTCGCGATGTTCCCATGGACACAATCTTTGAACCGAAAACCCGCAAGGAAATCAGCAAAATCGAATGGTACAAGCTGTCGGAGTTGCCAGCTTTCCGTCGCAAGAATGGCCAGTCTAACGATGCGATTGCTACTCCTAATGCCAACAAGTTTTACATGGTTGCCCCATTTTTGGTGCCTTTGAAGAAATGGGTTACGTCGCAGAAAAAGATTGAGGCACGAAAAGCAGCGACTGTCCCGCACAGTTATGGACCGATCACCGAAGCGCTGTATGAGGATGAGGCCTGGAAAACAGACACTGGGGCTGAAACTGCGGACCAAGAGCCGGCAATAGAGACGCTCGCAGGCGCGACACAAGAACTGCAGCGATTGTTGAAGGTCCAACCTCCGACCCAAGGTTTGCAAGGAGCTCCTGCCCCTGTCCAACAGGATAAGGGCAGTGCCTTACTCTCTATTCTTCAAGCAAAGGGCGGCCCTTCAGGCAGCCTCCCTCAGTCCGATCGTCAATATCCGCATACTCCTCTAGATCTAACGGCCCAGACCGCACCCCAGCCTCATACACCACACCACCAAAACCAGATGCCATCTATCAATGCTCAGCAGCCGCCGCCGTCATTTCCCTATCCACCCCATCAAACTGCTCAATGGAACGTGGCTCCTGGACAGCAGGCAAGCTATCACCAGTCATATGTTGATCAATACCCTGTGCAAGAAGGCCAGTATAAGAGCAACCAGGCACCGCTGGTTCACCCCCAGCCCTTGCCTCCCCAAGTGGAGAGAGCTGTTTTCAACAGAAGCGCGTTCCAAGACGTAAACCAAAACAATTACAGCTCAGGACCTGGTCAATTCATCAACCAACAGCAGCCGCAACATGGACACGGCGGTCAGATGCCACCACAAGTTCATAACCCGGCCGAACAGTCAAGGCAGCAACCACTGAATGGCCAGTCAATGGCTCTCCTGAACGCGTTCAAGGGCGGCAATGCCGCACCTCAGCCCCAGCAGGTGCCATTCCCTCCCAGTTTCCCAGTACAGAACCAAGCACCCGCATATGGCAACTTTGGCACGAACCAAGCGCAACAACAGAACCCACTTCAATTCCCCTCACAAGCGCAACCGCTTGGCGGAGGTCAGGATCGCACTGGGCCAAGTCCCAAAGAGCTACCTGGGTCAAAGGTTGGACCTGCTGCTAACAACCACCGCTCTGCTTTGTTAGGCATGTTTCGTAAGGATGACCAAAACCAACCTCCTGCTCAGTCGCCTCACGCTACCGGACAAGCTGCTCCAGGTAGTATGATGAGCGAACTTATGCGATCTGTCGGGGGAGACAATGTGAGGACCCAAGCTTCTCCACAAACCAGCGCAGGCATCAACCCGTCCATATCTTTGGAGGGCTTGTCCCTTCATCCACGGGCTGCTCAGTCTAGCACGCCGGGCTCCCAAGGAAAAGCCGATTATGCGCATTATGGCGCTCAGGTACAAGGAACAGCCGCTTCGCAACCTACTCAACCCATTCGAATTCTTCAGCGAGGACAAACAGAGCAGTTTCTTGGTGTTGGTGGAGCATCGGCATCTCCTCAAACTTCTTTTGCTTCACCCAGTGGATTATCCGCCCACCTACAGCCCGCACGTGCTAGTGTCAGTCCCAGCATTGCGCAAGCATTCCCTGCGTTCAACACACGTCGCGAATCTGGCCCGGCTCAAAAGCGAGAGCTACTTTCACTCTTTGGAAAACAGCCATCGCCTGCTAGTTTGGAAGCAGCCAAGGGCAAAGAGGTCATTGCTGGAACGCCCGGGTCTCGCCTTGCTTCATTAGCCTCTGGCACAGAGGAACCTGCTGGTCCACCTTCTCGTCGTGACAGCCAGACACCTATCTCACCCGCTGAACGTACATTTTTGCTTGACTACTTGCAGTCTGTTACGAAGAATGCCAATCATTGACGGGTTTTGGAAACGTGAATTATTTGTACGATTTGCCATCATTGGGATTTGAGGAGCATCGCAACGGAGCCTTGTCTGGGACGCTACGGGTTTTCCAGGTAGCTAGCGAGGCAATTAATTGCTAAGCGATAATTATCGTAATTTGGTATTCTTGAGAATTGCATTTCAGTTTCTGTCGATTATGTGTTCACATTCCGTTGCTGCTAGCGTTGTCCTATCCGTATCTATGTATATCTAGCCAAGTAGTATAAATATGAGCATTCTATCGCATGGGATACTTACTTGGATATCCATTTGTTATATTAAATACGTCCATTTAAGCTCAAGGCCATATAGATACGGTCGCTGACAGTGCCCCCCTGACTTCTGTCATATCCAGTCCCCTTTTGCACAAGAGGCACCACTATTCAAGCCGCAACCCGAGCCATTCGCGTACAAATTTGTCCGCAGTGTTGATGTGCCCCTGGTGCTAGTAGAATACCTGTCGAGTTGGACGCTTTCGAATCAGAGCATGGGACGGGCAAAGACAGATACTATTGAACGGATGAATAACTGCAACATCCTGGCCTATTTGCCGTTGTTGAAACAGATTCTCAGGGCCTTTGGGGCCTGCCTTTGCCAGTGCAGTGACCCAGGTCGGAAGCGCAGTACTAATCTTATGCCAAAAACCTGCACCGGCTGCCAGCTGTCAACAGCTGCCATCGTTGTCTACAACCTGCAATCACCGGACTCAGCGCATGGCTATATGAATTTCAAATACAATCTATTATATCAATAGGGTGGTCAAGCGGTTAAGCTGAGCGATCATGCCCCAATTGACCGGCTAGTAGATATCTGGGTTGCCTCTGCAGCGATGCATCGAGCCTCATTGCTCTCGCTGATGAGGGTTTCTTTTCTTCTTCTTCTTCTTCTTCTTCTTCTTTTTTCTTTTGCCTTCCCCCTTCTCTTCACCCCATTTGTCTTCTCTTGCAGTTTACCATTGGACGTGACTAGGACATTGCATTTATATGCCTGCTTGGGTAACTATTTATTTTTCTTGCAGCCTTTTAAATCTAACGCCATCATCTGGATTGACTGCAAACCACACCTTTATTGTCAACGACTAGACTATTTCTATCCATGCTGAAATACACTTGTCACTTCCTGAGTGATTTGACATTGAGTAAATGAGAATTTTACTTGCATACTGACATGAGAATGACTGTTGAAACTGTGCATGCAACCCCTTATTCAGGGGTAACACTCAGACCTACAGTAGTCCTCGTAGTGGTCGTTTATTTTTTAATAAAAACTCCCAAAGACTGTTAGAAATGGGATTCGAGTCACAGATGCATGTTTGAATCAGGGCAGAGTGGCAGTGACGGCTCCTGCCTTCCTTAAAGCCAGCGCATCGGCGCCTGCCTGCTTTGGTTGATTCTCCAGGCAGCACTCACCCCTCACTCCTACCCAAACATCCAATGAAGGCTTTATAGAGTAAAATAAGTCAACGGTTAAACAAAGACGGGATTCAACGGCTTGATGGTCGAGTGGTTTAGAGCTAAGGTCACCAGAGAGTTGACGGTCAGCGGTACATTTCCCACAGAGTGGTGATATATCCCAGAGAGGGAGCCTTCGACACTTGCCTGAGATGAACGTCACGCGCGCTCTTTTTTTGCCATTGTTTTCATTATATCTACCAAACTCTTTTGCGCATTTCTATTCTTCCTTTGGTGTTATGCACATGTTGAACTGTATACTGTTGACTGCCCCTGAGTCTATTTGTGAAGCGTCTACATATTCTTTGACGAGTAACCTATCTACAATTTGTCATTCTTTTTTATTTTAATCTTTTGATGCGGAATTAGTTTTAGAGCTTGTCGAAAACGGTCAGAGGTGGGATTTGAAGCCCAACCGTGCAGGTGTTGGCCCCCTAAAAGCAGTCACCAAGCAGGTAAAGGGGGACTACCATTTGTCTGTGCCATCGTATACTCTGCAGGGACAGTCACCAGTGAATTATAGGCATTGTATCAAGCACAATCGTCCAGACAAGACTGGACGTCTACGAGTGACTGTGTCAATACCGCCATCCAATTGTCGTCCTGCAATTAGCTTTCATGGTGGCTCAGCAGTGAACATCAATCAGGCTCAAAATTCTCAATTAAAGAAACTATCTGCCCGGGATTCTTTTGCTAAATCTCCATGTTTGGCTGACAAAAAGTGCCATGTACTGCAATAGTGTGGCTCTTCTATGGCAGTGTTATTGACCAAACTATGCTTTGGTATATACAGTCAACAGACTGTGTGACAATCATCTTTTCCCCCTTTATGTGTTTCCCCGTAGCAATCTTTGGCATTGAATTTTAACGAACAAAATATGATTGGAGGTATCATAATATGTATGTACCGTGTCTCACTCAAAGAGACCCGTCAGAAGAATCGTCACCATGGCTTGTGTCAGTATCGCTGAGATCCAGAAGCTGGAATCGGTTGCCCATGAGGTTCTTGCGCGATGGGTGGGCAGGCGCGGCGCTGCTGTCTTCCTTCACGCAAAGAACCGGGGCCTTGGCGCCACTGGGCAAAGTCTCCAGAGGTTGACCACACTCATCAGCAACCCATTCGATACGGGAATTCTTGTACTCTCTGTTAGGTCATCCGTTAGCATTGATCGTATAGCCGGCTTTGAGGGGTGCGAGGCAGGGCAGATTCAACTTACGACCGACTGAGAAGGCAATTGCGAGCGAAGATGGCGGAATTGACCGAACTGGTGCTGACGAAGCAATTGGCCTTATCGAACTCGATATCAATCACATAAAGGTTGTGGATATGGTCGAGATCCTCGCGGAGGCCTTGGGCAGTGGTGTTGGGATCACGCTTGCGAATGACAAAGTTTCGAGTAGCTCCTCTTGCGACGTGGTAGGCGACTTGGCCTCTCACGACGTACTGATAGTCAGACCATTTGGCATGTATCTACAGCCATTCGTCAGAATAAGAACCAGGTAATTTCGTTGCTCAACCTACTTTACGGTCCTTCAAGTACAAGCCACACGTCCGGGTATGATCAAGGAAGGCAGCTGCGTCACTTTCTCGTACAAAGGATACAGTAGCAGAGTTATCCTTTGCTCTGAGAAAGATCTCCAGAAGCGGTCCACCTCGAACGATTGCAGCAATCTCGCCATGAGTGACACCAGGAGCCAAGTTCAAAAGTTGAACCGACCTCTGAGCGGCACTCTCCACCCATCGATGGGAGTCGGATCGTTTGTTGTTCTGGAGTGGACCACGATGCTGTTGGTCCAGTGAGTTGCCTGCATAGGTAGAAGACTGGGGTAAAGCATAACTATCGAGATTCTTGTTCCCATTGAGCGCTTGATTTTCGCCGTGACCTCCAAACGGGGCACTTTGTTGGTTCTGGTAGAGAGTTGAGATGTCAGGGGCGAACTGTGTTGAAGTTGAGTCGCCAACACGCTCGTTTGCCAACGAGGAAGTGTTTTGGGCCGCTGTTGGTAGGCACAGCGCCTAAGATAGAGTCAGAAATACTTAAAGTGATAGAAGGCTGCACGTACGTTGAGAGTTGCATCGTCGAACCCGCACTGATTGAGATTTTGGCGTAGGTAGACTGAGCAAGCAAAAATCAGAAAGGGTTCCAGAACGAGGAGTCAAGCCATCCGGCCGTGATGATACATACAGTACTGATGTGCAGCTGCGACGAGGCTACTGTACTCTTCCTGTGGGATGCAAACGCATTGAGACTTGTGAGTCGATGACTCGAGGCCCTTGTACAAATGTCAGCTTCTGATGTCCGTGTTCACGATGAAGCTGGTATAGATAGGATAGGCGAGCATACGGTTTGATTCCTAAGAGCGTAATAAATTAGAACTGAAAACGACACCGAGAGGTTTGATGGATTGGATTGGATTTGACCTGGGTGCTGTACATACTGTGTAAGGTTCATTGTGGTCGCTCCAAGAGAGTATTTTGATTCCAAGTGTACCGAAGAATAAAAGGTTAGATGGTGGACGAAATATTTAGATGGTGGGGGAAAGCGAATATTCGCAAATCTCGAAGGGGAATGAGCCTTGACGCCTTGTAGCTTTTCATCAGGCAGGAGGCAGTTGTTTGATAAGGCGAGCCAACAGGCAGGCAGATTCACGTGCCGTTGTTGGCAACTGCGAGCCTCGTTGACAACTTCCCGTCACTCTGAGGGGCTGCCATCCACAAACGCAAGCTTCCCGTTATTCGGCTGCTGGCTTATGAAGAAAAGAGAAAAGAAATGCAAGCAAACGTTCAGTTTCAAGCAAAGAATGAATTCGCTCCAATCCGCATGCATCGTAGATGTGCACATATCCACACATGTTGTACATTGACGGTACGCCTAGACGCATATCAATCGTACGTGACTTTCCATGAGTAACATTGCTGCACACATCGCATTACAAAACGAAGACTACAGTTACTCTTATGTGGGATAAGTATGGTGTATTAACACTTTGCTTTCGGTTTTATGCTTGACCTCCTGAGTGATAGTAGCCATCACCCTCGCAGTCATGTTGCATCGACTGATGATCACTTAGTAAGTAGAAGACGGGTTTGAAACAAACAGCAGCAGGATAATATACCATATATGATAAATGCAGTCAACGGTGAATAAGACTGACGTTGTCATAGTTTAGTACTTAACATACCTCCACGTGATACAGAAAACTGAGGCCCCGTTTGATCGGAGGCTAAAGCGGCAGAAAGCCAAACGCAGCCCTTAGATGAGATCAACGGGGCCGTGCAGGAAGGTTAATGGGTACTTCACTTTAATTCGAGACACCATCGTCACAGACATATTCTAGATTTTGGAAGGGTAGGGATGAGTGCACCTTGCTAGTGCTTCTGCGATGCTAGAAAGATCTAGGAATCAGCACGAGAAAATCGTAATCGCAATGACTTGGTATTGAATTCAAGGATCTGTTGATGGAACCTTTCTACGTAGTAATACCTGATCCCACTAACCCTGTCGCCCGTCCCATCCTTCGTGCATGATTGCCGAGAATAGCGGGCGGGTTCAGGCGTTAGGGGACTCCGAACAGGGATGGGGCGAAGGGTAACCGTTGTTATTTTTAGGTGAAGCAATGGAGTCTACACGAGATCATGTGATGGTATCCATTCCTTTTTTGGATCAGAGGGAAGTACCCAACTCTGTCAACACGAGACGATGACTTTCGCGTCTGACGATAATAAAGGAATTCATGAACCAATAAATCAGGCTCCGAACGGGCTGTGTCCTGCAAGTACATCGCTGTAATACGTATACCCAGGTTCAGTCGGTACTGCAGCGTCTCAGCTCCCTCACCCACTAACAGATGGAGATCCAACGGTTCCAGCTAAGCCTCCACCCAATGAAGAGAAATTACGGAACTGCTGTTTTGGCTCCTGGGTTAAAAATCGAAAGCCAAGGGGGGTACGTACTGTTATGGGGGCTTGAAGCATGTGCTTTGTACCAATGAGATGAAATGACCAACCCCCTGCTCCCTCATCTGCTGGGCCAACCCAACATAACGCCAACGCTTTCCCTTGTTCTCTCGTTTTTGCTCCTGTCCTGTTGATTTCTTGTCCACCTCTTGTTCGCACGCTCGCTCGTTCTTCCTCTCGTTAAAGCTTTAGAGATTGATCAATCTCAGAACTTTGGGACTAGCAGCATATCAGCATTGTTTTGATTCTGTTGTCTCTCGCTCTGATTCTTTCTCGACATTCGCTACCTCATCTGTTTCACCCTTCACTCGCTCTCATCGACTTGGACACGCTCAGCATCGACAGATCTGTCATTCGCAAGGACAATCTATCAAACCAACATAATTAATACAACATCGTTATCGTTATCGAGACGGAGACGACAACGACCCTCCATTTTCGACCACTTTTAACAGCATCACTATTGTCATTGTTCGATTTCCATCGCAACCCCTTTCTTCTCGAACTCGACAACGACCATCAACGAATCCATCCATCATGCGTCCCACCTCAAACCTCCTCCAGGCCGCTGTCTGCCTCACTTCTCTTGCACCTTTGGCTACAGCATGGCCTAGTTGGTTTCCCAACGCCGACTCCGTTGTAGTTCGACGAGTTGTCCCGGAAGATCGTATGTCAGCTCTCTCTACGACACTCAGACCCTTTTTACTGACTCTTAAACAGTGCCTCTAGAAACTCAAGTTCTCAAGCCTCGTCAAGATACCACGACTGAAGAGGAAGCTACAAGCACCAAGAAAAGTCCCAAGCAGACCAACCTAAACACAGCTAAAGTCGAAACCGGAACAGAGACTGGGACTGCCACCGAGGAAGATTCCACAGAGACAGGAAAGAAGACCGGAAAGAAGTCGGGCACCAAGACTGGAACCTCTGCCCCCAAACGCACAACCTTTTCTGCCGATGTTCAACCTGGCGGTTTGAGTATGACGCTGCCTGACACCATGTATGTCCCTACGCCTCTTATCAAGATCGGCGACTACGCCACCTTTGGCTGGAACTACACCTCGCTCGAAGGCACTCCTACTGCGATCGACGTGCTTGTCAGTCAGTCCTCCGCTGGCGAAACCTACACTCTTACTGCCAACATGACTTTCGAGACGAACCCCACCTACGTTTGGGATACTAGCAAGGAGGCCAATGATCCTGATGCTCCTCTCCCTGTTGGCATGTACACTCTTATCATCAAGGATTCCGACTCTGCAATCACCGATATTCCCTCCCCCGGTTACCTGGCGGTCCAGAAGACTTTCCAGTTCGGCATGTACACCCCCGCGGCCTACACGCCCTACCCCCAGTGGAACTGTGATATCTGTGACAACTAATCCCAAACTGTCACTTGTTCTTGCTGTTGTTCTTTGGAGTTTAATCTTGGGGGTGTTTACGGTCAGGAAAGCATCAGATGGAGAAAAATTGTTTATTGTTCTTGGTATTTGGGATGCGTCACAGCTCGGTGAGGGCGTTGGTAGATGTCTATCTTTCTTGTGAAGTTAATCTGGAGGAAAGCCCATTTTGGATACTTATGACATGGTGATTGAAATCGAGCAGAGATCACTTAATGATTTTATCTATTATATACATCTAATCTCGTCGGTTCTTGGTAACTGACAGCAGCTTTTTCAGATAAAATTTGAACCCATGTCAAATGTCTTCTCACAATCATGCTGCTTACAACGGTTTATCTTGTAATAAAATGTCCTTCCTAGGGTAACGAATTTCGATGAATCCTAAGTCTATCTGGGTATACGAATAGGATCTGCCTATGACTGCTCCTATAACTTGCAATCTAACAATTCTGCTTAAACGATAGTCACCACTTGCCCCAAATCTTAAATCATACGCAGTTGGAATCCTGCCCCCTTCTCTTCCTTGTCCCGCCCCTGGAATATGCCACTTAGATCAGCGTCGCCTAGCGAAGCAGCTTGTCCACCACGCACAGGCGCATGAGGCTCTACGCGTCTACGACGTTCTTGATTCGCCTTACTAGGGAAGGTCGGGAACATGCTCTCTGGCTTTGGCTTGGGGTCTTGTCGGAAATATTCGTTTTGCAGCATTTCATGTGCCGACGGCCTGCGCTCAGGGTTAAGTGATAGCAGATCGCCCAGCAAACCAGCGCCTGCGCTAGTAAGGCTAGGAAAGCGAGCACGAACGACAGAGCCCGTGGCAATCTGGGTCTTGGGAAGGCGTAATGAGCGAGCGTTGGGGAGACGTCGGAAACCAGGCCACGTCTCTTCTGTGGGAACGCCACACAGCTCAAAGATGCGCGAGACTTGATCAACTTCGTTTTTACCTTGAAGCAGAGGTTCGCGAGTGAGTAGCTCGCCAAATATGCAGCCTACACTCCACATATCGACAGCAGCGTCATACGTCTTGATACCAAGAAGTAGTTCGGGAGCACGGTACCAGAGGGTGACGACAAGCTGGGTAAGCTTGGGTGGAGGGTCACCGACGTAACGGGCCATTCCAAAGTCGGCAATCTTCAGCTGGCCGCGGTTGTTGAGAAGCAGATTGGAAGTCTTGAGATCGCGGTGAAGAATCCAGTTGTCGTGGAGGTAGGCGATACCTGATGTGAGCTGGAGAAGAAGGCGCTTCACTTCAGAGGAGAGGAAGGGTTCGGGCATGTCTTCGAGAATGGATTTCAGATCGTGTTCGACGAATTCAAGAACCAAGAATAACGAACTGTAGTGACTATTTAGTATTGTCGATGCTGAGAGGAATTGATGGGCGCGTGCTTACTTGTCCGGTCGCGATACATCATCGCCCACAACGACTTCTTCCATGGTAACAATGTTGCGGTGTTGACACTCCTTGAGTATTTGTATCTCACGAAGGCCCGTAACCGGTAGACCGTTCCGATCCTGAGGTTCTAGCTTTAACCTCTTCAATGCGACGACCTTGCCCGTGGCTTTGTTCGTCGCTCGCGCAACCCATCCATAAGTTCCCTCTTCGATATCGTTCAACTTTTCGTAATTCTCAACGCTTCTGCACTTCCCCCAGCTGCCAGTTGGGAATCGCAGCAGCTTGGCTGGGGGCAGTTTCTCGTCTTGTTTTGCGCCTGGCTCGGGTGTAATTCTCCGTCGCTTCGAGGGTCTGTCATCGTCGGCTTCAAGATTGCTCTGCTTCACTTCGGCCTGTAATTTCTTCTCTTCTTCGAGTTTGCGTGCCTTTTCTGCCTTTTTCCGTCTCTTTTCTTCCTTGAGTCTGGCGTCGAGGCGGGTGTCTTCCTCCGTGTCGGCCCACCGCGATTTGCTGGACATGATGTGCGCTGTAATGGGTGCAACTAGATGTATGAACTTGTGATGATAGACGAGAGTTAGGCCAACGGTATATGCGAAGAGGAAGACAGTGTTCAATTCAATATTTGAGTATGTACAGAACACCGGAGCTGTGGAGAGTAGTGAGAGCTCTGGGGACGGTTTGACGTTGAGGAATTCCTTATCTTATCAGCAGGTAGCTTTGTCTCAGGAAAAGCATCGTCACTGATCCACGCTTTCATGGGAATAAGTGGTGTCGTACTACGATCGGAGGACATTGCCCATCTCTTGAATCTCTAGTCTTTTATGTACTCGACTGGGTAGTCAGAGGTTCAAGATGTTTAGATCATTGGGCATAAGACCCTTCACAAGGCTGGCCAACAACCGCTGTATATCGCGGCCAAACTTGGTCAACTCTTGTGCTGCTAGAAACTTCTCATCTAGTATTCGTCGATATCAAAAAGCGGCTGAATTCCAAGATGAACTCGAGGGTGAGAGAAAGTGGTCTACGCCTTTGGCTAAACAGCTCTTTTCTGCCATCTCAGTGAGTACATTCCGTTAAACCAGTGTGTTCATGCTAACCTGTATCCAGACGACAGGACCTGTTCCATTGGCAAGCTACATGCGAATGTGTTTAACTGGTGATATTGGAGGCTACTATACTGGAGCCATTGGTGAAGGTCGAGATCAGTTTGGAACAAAGGGAGACTTTGTCACTTCGCCAGAGATCTCGCAAATCTTTGGTGAACTCATTGGTATCTGGTTCATCGCCGAGTGGATGAGCCAGGGTCGACCAAAACAGGGAGTTCAGATTATCGAGGTTGGACCTGGCCGTGGTACTCTGATGGATGATTTGCTTCGAGTAAGAAATTCATTTAATATTTTTCTCTCTATCGTGCCCACTGACTTGTTTCCAGACAATCCAACGATTCCCTGCTATGGCTAATAGCATCGACGCTGTCTACATGGTTGAGGCCAGTCGTGAGCTCCGAAATGCTCAAAAGGAGCTTCTCTGCGGACCTGGCGCCTCTTCATCTGAGTTAGAATCTGGCTTCCACAGTTCTAGCAAGTACAATGGTAAGAAGATTGTTTGGACGGATAACATCAAGTCAATCCCATACGGTAAGCAACGCCATCTTATTGTTCTGCACTTCAAAGCTAACATCATTATGGAATCTGACAAGATGCCCTTTATAATCGCCCACGAGTTCTTTGACGCACTACCTATACACAGTTTTCAATCCGCCCCTGCTGCTACCCCTCAACCAAAGCCCTCTTCATCTACTTCAGCTCCTCAGCCACCACCCGAAAATACCAAGCCCACCATGGAATGGCGAGAGATGATGGTATCGCCTACACCACCGGGCGTCACTCATGCCCAGCTCGGAACACCAAAGTCAGAGCAACATGAGCCCCCCCCTGAATTCCAACTTACTCTTTCGTCTACCCCCACCCGCCACTCTCGCTTCCTCCCCGAGACCTCTTCTCGATATCGCAAGCTCAAGAGCATGCCCAACTCGAACATTGAAATCTGCCCGGATGCTTCTATCTTTGCTACGGACTTTGCGACTCGTGTCGGTGGTTCAGATGAACATCCCAAGCCCAAGCCCAGTGGTGCGGCTCTCATTCTTGATTACGGAACCTCAGACACTGTCCCTATCAACTCCCTTCGAGGCATCCGTCATCACAGGCGTGTGAGCCCCTTCTCCGCGCCCGGTCTGGTTGATCTGAGCGCTGACGTTGATTTCACCGCCATTGCCGAAGTGGCCATGTCGGCAAGTGAGGGTGTTGAGGTCCATGGCCCTGTCACCCAAGGCGATTTCCTTACGGTGATGGGTATCCGTGAGCGTGCCGAACAGTTGACCAAGACTCCTGGCGTAGAGAAGGACACCATTGACAAGATCGACGGTGCCTGGAAGCGTCTTGTTGATAAGGGTCCAGACGGTATGGGGAAATTGTACAAAGTGTTGGCCATTCTGCCTGAAAACGATGGTCGAAGACGACCAGTTGGATTTGGAGGTGATGTATTGGGTTAGATGTAGGAAGCTATGGTGGTCATTGTTGAATGAATCATTCTGGAGAGAAGAGGAACGACTTTAGAAATATGTGTATTGATCACAATATTGTATTTATACCTGCCCATTCTGTACTATACTACATTTCACGAGCAACACGAAAAGAGTTGTGCATTAATTGAACCTCTTCATTCATGAATAAGATTTGATCTTTTGGCAAACCTATAAGTATACAAAAAAACAATGCGCCGAAAGGTGGCTGCAGAAAGTTTCATCCCAAGCCAACGCCTTGGTTTTCTCACTTGGATTTCACAAGCTTCGCGTCTTCTTCGTCACTGTCATCATCGTCTGAGAACTTGTCTCCATCCTCCCCAACAGCAAAGATGGTCTCATTCTCTAGCGATTCACGAGGACCGGTGCGTGTGTTCGTTGGCTGTTGAGGGGCACTCCGAGATGCGCTTGAGAACGACAGACCGTTGGCGTGTTGTGAGTTGTTTTGAGGCTTAGCGATTTCGGCCTCCTCATCATCTGAATCTTCTCCTGGAACACCAATATCGCCAAGGTCAAAGTTGCCATCATCGTCTTGGGCAATTTCGTCACTCATGGCGAAGCGACGGTTGTTGGACGTAGGGCGCCAAAGATACGCGATCCATGCAACGTCAGCAAAGTAGACCACGTTCAGCCAGCCATCGAGGATGAACCATCGTGTCTTCCAGTGGAACGGAACGAAATCAGGATCACTGGCAGAGGCAAACGTGAAGCTGTTGAAGAAGAAGAAGCCGAAGATGACCATGACACTGATGAGAATAGCCCACCAGAGTTTTCTGTACATGGCTTCTTTGGCATGCTGCTTTCGCTCGCGGAGATCCTTGAGAGTCCAGTTGAGGGAGTTGAGGGTCCAGACATAGAAGGCAGTCAGGGTGCCAGCTAGAGGGAGGACAATCAAGAGCACAAATGGGCCTGTCTCGAGTCAGTGGGTACTATAAAGAACAAGCGAGTAGTCTTACCAGCTGTCTCTGGGGTAATGGAGAGGAAAGTAAGCGAGTAGACGAGACCAAACAGGAAATGAGCTGCTGCAAGCCATCGCACTCTGATCATTGTCTTGCCCAGGGTGTGCTTGACCACACCATAACCCATACAAACGATGAGCAGCAAGAAGAACGAGAACGAGTTTCGGCCAGCATTGAGAATTCCTACAATTGTGAGGAAAACCTTTGAGCCGATGTTCGAGCCATGACGATTCTGATATTCTACATTCGAGTTAGAGCGAGTAATACAACGAGAGTAAAATACAAACCATAAAAGCCCCAAGTGATGAGCATTTCAACTACCAAGAAGATCAAGATTGCTGTAATGTAATTTTGCACAGCCACTAAACAGAGTTAGTCAGAACTCATTATTGCATGGGTTAATGCGCTTACAGATGTCGTGTCTATGTTGGTAGTACAGAAAACCCCAGTATGCAGCGAGGAGCGCATACAAGATACTCATGCCGCCGTAGAATGGCAGTTTGGGAATCTGGGTGGCTTCGAGTTCACCATAAGCATTGCGGTACTCAACTACAAGGTTATAGTTCTTGGTATTGACAACGTCCGTGAGGACGCAGTAGTAGCCAGTCTTCTTGATAGCGTAGTTGATGGGAGCAGCGGAATTGAGGTGGACGGCCTTGGTAAGGACCACGCTGGTAGATTTCTTGTCGACTTCAGGGTGCAAGATAAACTTGCCAATGTCGGTTTTGTTGCAGTAACCTTGCTTGACGAAATCATCGCCGCAGACGCCAAGTCGCTGTATTCCATGCACGTTAGTATGCGCCAAATGAGGGTTTGCGACACCACTCACGTTTCCGGGAACATCGGGATCAGGTATTCCAACGAGATTTCTATCTTTCCACTCGAATATCACAAGACTGGCTGTCGGATCTTTGACGCCCGAATCGCTACTGTTGAGGAACTTGACAAGGATGAAAGGGTCAACGGGTCCGCCCCATGAGGACTTGCTGTACATGCCTGGAGACTGTCAGATCAAAGAGTTTAATCGCATATGATAGCCATCACCTACCAGTACAGTATTCTTGGTAGCCTTCCTTGTTGCTCTAGAGGAGATCAAAGTTAGCAAAACTGCGATGCCGACGCTTCCTAGATAGTAGTTGTAAGGCCACCCCGTACCAGTCCGATCTCGTAGGCTTGGGTTGTCCAAAGGGACATGCCCAGCACGAGCAGTCCCGTGAGGAACCTCATGATGTTCGTATCGTGGATATTGCGGCGAAAGCTTCGGAGGGGTTGCGAGGAGATCCGGAATAGAAGAAAGAATGATCGCAGTTCAAGGCAGAAGGGAGCTTAGAAACGCTTAAGAGGTGGCGCTGTAGCTTGTTAATTTATGGAGCATGTCGAGCCTGTCGAATGTCCTGATTGCGCGGCAGGGTGTGCTTCGTCAAGTGGGAAGGGAAGTTTGGCCTTGACGATGGTGATCTCAAAGTTGTGTATAAGAATGAATTGGTGTAGTTGAGTTAATGTAGAAGCCCGGATGCCTCAAGTTGCAGATTCAAGGGAGCAATCAACGTGTATACGTAATTGGTCGCCGCTCAGTGATGCCAGGTCAGCACCAGCACCAGGAGAAACCATGGCAGAGATTGTGTCCTCATTGGCCAGACCTCGAATGGTTACGATAAGCCCCAGGTCGTCTCAGGCACCAGGTTAGCGTACCTGGTACCTATGAGGTACGTAGAAACCTTAGCGTGGCGCATCATATAGATGGAACTACGGGTAGGGGACATCATCATAACTTCTTTTTTTTAAAAAGTACCGTCACATTCACATTTGTTTGATCAGCGCAACAATGGGCAAAGGAACAGACAAGCTTTACGTAAGTCAATATTCCTCGAATGAAGCTGTCCTTTATTCTAACCAAACGTCTCCTAGATTACGCATTCAGAATGGTCCTCGGCCGACGCCTTTTCTCCCAGCATCGGCGCAGGCGCGTCTCGCAACCAACAAGCCAGCGCTTCATTTCGTCGTCTCCCCTTCAACTTTTGCGCCGCGAGTCTTCAGCCGTTCAAGAACCCAGTGTGCACACCAGATGGGACTATCTTCGATGTTGAAGTCATTGGCGCCTGGCTTGAAAAGCATCCCAACCAGAACCCCGTCACCGGCGAGCCACTACAGAAAAAAGATTTGATCCGTCTCAACTTCGCCCGCAATTCAGAGTCGGACTCCCTTGGTGCCGGATTGAGCGATGGAAAAGGCGATTTAATTGATCCAGTCACATACAAGGTCTTCACCGACAATACACACATAGTCGCTATTCGTCATGGCACATATGCCAACGTCTTCGCCTGGGATACGGTCGATCGCATGAATATCAAGGCCAAATCGTGGCGCGACTTAGTTGACGACGAGGAATTCACCCGCGCCGACATCATCACTCTCCAGGACCCCCAGAATGCGGCCAGTCGCAACTTGGATCAGTTCAAGTACTTGAAGGAAGGACATGACGCACAATTGACAAAAGAGCAGGAAGAAGAGCGCAATGCCGGCAACATCAACTCCAGTGCTTTGGGAAGCATGGGCGACAAGGTCTCGCGCGCCAAGGCGGCGGTAGAAAAGGCGCGCAAAGCTCGTGAGCAAGGTGGCGATGTCAATCGCAGTTCTACTGCTCTAACGAAACCCACGGCTGCTGGCAGCGTCGTTCGCAAGTCCATGATCAACGACAAGAAGTTGGCTGTCAACTCTGCCACTTACACCACAGGAAAGGCCGCAGCCAGTTTCACCAGCACAGGCTTGACACCCGAAACGAGTGGCGAGAGAGCACTACTCTCTGATGAAGAGTACATGCTGAAACCCAAGCGTGTCAAGACAACGGGATTTGCTAGGATGGAAACAAATTTGGGCGACTTGACAATCGAATTATACCCAGAGTTTGCGCCAAAGGCTGTGTGGAATTTCATCAGGTTATCCCAGAAAGGTTATTACAAGGGCGTGGCCTTTCACCGAAACATTCCCAACTTTATGATCCAGGGTGGTGATCCCTCGGGTACTGGTCGAGGCGGGCAGAGCGTTTGGGGCAAGTATTTCGATGATGAATTTGACGGTCCTATGTCACACAATGGCCGTGGAACCCGTAAGTGATCCCTTTCAGTATGGTATGATTCTTGCTAACCTCACGCTCCCAGTCTCGATGGCCAATAAAGGAAAAAACACAAACTCTAGCCAGTTCTTTTTTGCGTACAAGCCAACACCTCACCTCGACCGCAAACACACAGTATTTGGAAAGGTCGTCGAAAACATTAATGTTCTCTCCAAAATGGAAAATGTCCCCACTGATGGTTCTAACCGCCCCCTTAATAAGATCCTTATCAAGGACATTGTCATTATGCTTGACCCCTTCGCCGAGTTTCAAAAACAGAAACAGGAAAATGAGTTACAGACTAAGGAGCGGGAGAAGATCCAGCTACAAGGCGGTACAGACGATGACAAGACGACATGGACCGGCAAGCGGATACGAAGTGACGGCAGCATGGAGAACACAGGTGGTGGCGTAGGAAAGTACTTAAAGGCCACTACGCAAAAGAGTACATCAACAGTCAACGAAGCAGACGTGGAGGATGTTGACACATGGGAGGAGCCTGCACGCAAAAAGGTTAAAGGAGGTGGTTTTGGAAATTTTGATAATTGGTAAATGAAACGGGCATAGTCTGCCTCAATATGTCAATATCTCAAAAGTGCTGGGTATGTGACCTTCTAAATCTCGCCCTATCTATCCAGAGAATCACGCTAAGAAATAGAAAAGCCTGCCAATATCACGCCCATCACGTATGATGATTCATACGTCTCAAAATTCCTTGAACGTTGAATGAAGTAAAGATGTGCTGAGCCGCATGGTACCACCAATTGGTCGTGATGAGGCGTATCAAACTATCGAGGGCAGGGTGCTCGGAGCTACTGACGGAAGCTTGCTAAGAAGTGAGGAGTTGCAGATAGAGTGGCCAGCTTTCTGCTCCTGTAATAGTCCTGCAACAACTCGCGCCTGTTCCAAGCCAGCTTCTCTATGTATGGCATTGAGACCCTCTACGGCGTACTGTTTCGTCTCAGAGGAGCAGACCGACGACATGCCAAGCATGTACAATGGCCAAATGATGGTACTGTTGGTAGAAGCAAGGCTCACAAAACGAGCGGCATCGTCTGTATGGGCTTTCGACCTTGTTGGGTCAAACATTACAGGACTACCGCCGCTGCTCGAAGCATCGTCCCCGGTACCAAATCGTGTATCATGAGCGGGAGGCGTTGGTAGAACACGATAGGCCTGCTTCTTAGCAGCAATCGACACCGTATGTGCTGGATCTTTTCGGTCAATTATATCACGTATACTAACAACTCCAAGGTGCTGTGGTATACTCGCAGCGATGGACCGTCCTAGCATGTTCAAAAGTTTGACAGAAATTGCCAAAATCTGAAGATGAGCCTCCGATATTGCAGTATCGCTGGATGACTCGAAGATTGCACAGAATTTCTCAACGAATGTTTCCAACAGGAGCATGCGTATTCCTCGCACCATGTTCCAGGTGGTGGATTGGAGAAGTCCGGTATAAACGTGACAAGTTTGTCCCAAAACTCGTGGGTCCGGCTGCGTCAACTGTACATTATGATATCTCCAATCCTCTGGTAGCCCGGAGAGTGTTGCAGAAATTTCTTCCTGGACATTAGATATGGCGTTGACTATAACATCAAGACTGCTAAGTGTGCCTGATTTGATATCGTGCCGAACTTGTAGTGCTTTGTAAACGGGATATGTTACATGAAAGTCAGGCCCCATAAGTTCTTCAGATGGTGGAATTTGGCGGCGAAGATCTATTAGAGTCCCTGGCATAGGGAGACCACTCTGAATGCAGCTTATCAGGACCGTTTGGCAAAGCATGAGAAACATGCGGGCTCCGGCTTTGGTCCTAAATTGAGCAACACCCCTTATACCCGCAAGAGCAGCAGCTCCATTAACATGATCTTGCCAAGCACGCATCGTATGAGCACTGTAACCCGAAACGAATTCGTATGTGCCAAGAATCAATACTGCAAGCATAGTTGTGTCCTTGACTACTTCTATCGGGTCACGGAGGGCCCGGTGCGTTAATCCAAGTGCGATGGCATAGCTCTCTTGGGCACGAGTCATAAGTTCGGGTGATTGGAGACTTTGAGAGCATGCCGCAAGTCCAACAGCTGCCATACTGACAGAGACCAGGTCAACTTGGGACTGGGCCGAGTCCGGGGGCTTCCATACATCGTATATGAAAGAATAGTTTTGGTGGGAACCTCCATTCGTCGTGACATAGCGAGAAAAGAAGAAGGAGATGCCCTTGTCCTGTGTCTCAGGGGATAAAGCTCTGTCTAGGGGAACATCGAGCTCGGAAGCTCCGCCGTCATCGTTGGCATTAGTTGGGCTTTCCGAAGTCTCTGAAGAAGAACGGCTCCAATCATTGTTCAATGCTGAAAGCACAGGTGCGCGACAACGAGTGGCTCGTTTCCTAGAACGTCTATCCGTTGCTTTGTTAGGTTTCTCTACTTTGGAGGCAGGTGGTAAGCCTCCCCCAGGTCTTGAATCAATGATGAATGCCGGCGATGAGCCGATAGGCTCAGCAGGTGTTAAGGGAGATGGAGATGGAGAAGGGAGTCCCTGGCCAGCAGAGCTCTTTTGATTCGGAACGAGGTGCTGGGACCGTCTGCTTTCTGCTTTCTTGATGACATGAGAGCTTTCATCTCGAAACATCAGATCAACAAGGTTGCGATAACCAGGACAAGCTATCCCCTTCTTCGTGCATTGTGTACATGAAGGATCCTTTTGATCACACTTGGGAGATAAATTACAGGTCAGCAAGTTGAAAGAACAGTAGATCGTCATGGCCACACTGTCAAGCCGTATGTCCTGATCGTGGACGCTGTTGGGGAATAATTTGGGCCAGTGATGATGGGATAACTCACGCGAATCTTCCGACCACGGCAGACGGAGCAACCTCCGGAAGGCTTCCCACAATAGACCATGACGATGTATTAAAGAGGTACGGCCTTGTAATTGATTATCCAGGTTTGACAACTAAGGTCGAGAGAGGAGTGTACAGATAGAAGGGCTGAGGCTTTTGCAGGTCATGACATGATGGGCACCTGCTGGTAGCAGTGCTTCTCGCGGGTTGTTCTGTCTAACAAATGCAAACTCTTGGCTCAAGACATATGCCCCGCCAGAGGATAGCTAGGCAAGGGGGGGATGCTGGGGTAATATCGAAAGAAGCGGTTAGGTATTCCAAATGGCGGTTGTTATAGAGGGTATCACTGGTATCAGAAATCGCGAATCGTCAATCATGAGCTTGTGAGTCGATGCTGAGAATGGGGGCGACGGAACAATTATATATATTGGTGTGCTCCGGGTGCAATTAAATTAGATGTAAAAGGGAAAAGTAGAGGCATGGATGATGCAGTAGCAGGAGGAAGGGCTTGAATGGATCGATAGGCTCGCACCGCAGTGGACAGTGGACAGTGGACGGTGGATGGACAGGATTGGGTGTGATGCGACTTGTTAGCTGCAGATTGGGTGGGCAGGCGCCGTCCTTATGTTTATGGCTGTGTTCTTCCTTTCTTCCCGAGGGCCCCAGTTAAGGATGCATCATCGGGTCAATACCTTGATACCTACATTCCATCTTCCTATATTACCTGGTAGGTATATATTGCTATAGAAAGTTAAGAATATTTATTTGCCTGCCAAGACAGGTAGTCAGTATTTAGATTGGATGAAATACCTTGACTAGTTGGTGACTGATAAACTTGACTAGCGGCGTCATCAAATCTAACGACTCAAAACCATGTGAGGCCAGCTCCAAAGCTTTGGGTGTTACGGCTCAGGGTCAATCTGCAACCCTCTCGTTCCTTGATCACGGCTGTGGCATATACCATTAAAAGCCACAACCGCATGTCTTACATGTAATGTATACGACCAATGGCTTCTGATAAGGAATTGGCAAGTCATAACCTACCCTGTGGCTTGTTTATACGTGTTGGGGAGATGAGAACGAGAAGGAGCTACAAACAAAGGATATTGACTTAATTCATAGGTCTGTTCATTCTGCAACTTATTCTCTGCCTCCAACGTGAACCGTCAACAGTTTTGGTCTCCCATCATTCAGAAACCCGCTCTGATCGACTCCTCCAGACGCTCCAACGTCATCATACGGAAACGCATACCCTTTACCCTCATGGGTAACCTCATGACATACTCTTGAGTAATGATTCGTTCTCCCTTGTGCATCCCCCTTACAATAATATTCACCCACCTTCTCCCCCTCGGGCTGCCGGCCGTTCCCTGATAGTGTCGTTCGGTTTAGCGCAGCCGCGAGCCGGGCCCCGACGTTGAGCTGCGCCGGCGTAACGTCCGGTCCCCCCGCAAACGGTCCGGAGCTGCACGATACAATATCCCGAGTTGACGGCTTCTCAAATGAAAATTTAAGCTTATCTTTGCCCACGTCCTTAAAGACAAGCTTGCCGTGATGCACTCGACCCTTGACGTCGCCCCATTCAGCCTGCGTATTGATCTCGATGTCCTCGTTCTTGTATCGCTCCCATGCCGCATCAATCTCTGGCGCAAAGTAGTTCTCCAGCAAGCCTGGGTGCAGCTCCGCAGCAGCATTGATACTCAGTGCCCGGAGGTTGGAACCTGACTCTGACTTGACCACAAGCTTCTCCCATCCCGCGCCGTCCTGTTCGCCCTGGCGCTTCAGTCCTTCGCAGACTTGGTCCAGCCCATCCTTTGGCAAACCCCGTACATGTGTGACTTTGCCAGCTTCGTTCTCGAGTTCCAGACCGATTGGTAAGCTCACAAAGTCAACATATGACACGTTCACATACAACTGGTCGTTGTTGTAAGTAAATTCGCAGAAACCCCAGTCGGCGTGAAAGTTGGGGTCGGTCGGGTTCATCACGGATGGCTCTACCACCGCTGGTCCAGGATTCAGCAGAAACGTAAGAGGATTTCCCTTGCAGAACCAGATGCGGCCTCCAAAGATGTGCGGTATCCGGACCTTTTTCTGAGCCCCAGGTTCACCGACGAGTATGCCAACGTCTGCTCCCACAGGCTGGAGAATCTCAGACGGTGATTCAGGACGATACAATGTCTCTCCGTCTGCAAGAAGCATCACCACGCCTTTCTCATCTCGGCCTGTCACATGGGCAAAGAGTGCCTTTGAGTCCGTATGATTGGTGAGCAAGATGTCAAGAAAGGGTTCCGTAGGCATGATGTTTGACTGCAACTTGGAGTGCCGTTAATTGTGTCGTATCGTGTTGTAGCTATAATAACATGCGACAAGCTTGACACTGGTTAGATGAGAAATCCTTGACTGCATTCTTGTCTCAGTGCCTCAATACTTTGGTACTAATAGCCCCTCATCATCTCACCTCACCATGCTGCTTCTGCCCTGTTTTAGGCCCTGTTTTATTGGATTCTTGGCCTAATCTTCAACAACTTGGTAACAGGAGCACGATAGAATGAAATCATCATTCCAATCTCCCAAAGTTTAGTCTGTTCTGGCCTAGCCTAGTTATTTACAGCGCATGTTGTTTTGGTGCAATCAATACTGGATTTACAGTCAACCTTTCTGCAACAATTGAGGTCTACTACGTCAGCACTTTGGTATATTCAGCCACCAGCATAATTATCTAAGGGCCAGAGCGGAATGGTTTTTATCAACAATATGGATACATATACTCTTCCTTAACTGCCACCTCCAGTCCTGTCCAGGCACTCATAATAACAACGTCACTAAGCCAAGCCCCAAACTTCCCAACAAGCTCATATTTGCAACCGCCGCGTCACTTTCGTCATTATCGTCCGAATCGTGCGGCATGTCGCCACTGTAGCATGTTGCATTTGTAACGTTCTGGATAGAACACGCAGAGGCTCTCACAGAAGACCGGACACACTGCCGTTGTAAACATGACTGACGTTCATGGTCCGAAGAATTGAAGTAGGCCTTGACATAGCTGACAGTAACTATTGCGTCCTTGGTCGGCGGACCGCCAGACCACAGCGGATTGCCGTTGCTCCAGTGCTGCAGGATCAAATGGCCCCCAGAAGAAGGCATATCACCACCTTCCATCTGAGCGAGCAGTTTGTTATCTGCATAGAACAGAACATGGCTAGGAACGTAGTCAAACCGGTATTCGTGAAAGTTCTCTGTTGGGTCGAAGTCCAAATTTACTCGCTTGAAGTTCCCAGTCTTGCTGGCATCGTAACCGGCCTCCATAGACGCCTTGGACTGTACAACGAGGTTGGCAGGGTAGATACCTCTCTCGTAATCAAACTCTCGGGATAGAAATTCAATATCGATCTCCTGGGTATTGTTGAAATACTGTCATCCTGTTAGCTCCCTCAGCCAAAAGCCAACATCAGTTGCTCACCCAGAAGAAGGCCGCACACGTGCCCTTAACATCCGTCAACTTCATCCCAGCTCGGAATGACCCCCAATGGAGGTCCAGTCTTTTTGTATCTATCTCGCTTCCTGGAATTGTGTCGTTGCTGATGGTACTGCTCACACGTAGTTCAACACCATGACCCAGATCCGGATGGTCTTGAGGGTGCGTTACTTGGATGGCAACGTTTGTGGGTTCGAAGGCCTTGCTGTAGTTCCCACGACCATCTTCTGCTGATACTGTGAATTTCTGGGCTACCCAGTCATGGCTTTGGGAGATGGTTTGCAGTTGACCGAAGTCAGTCTCAAGCCGATCCATAAACACAATAACCCCTTCGCCTTCGGGGTCTTGAATCGAATAACCACAGTCACATGTGCTGGTCACCAGACGTACGACTGCTGCAAGGACGCAAAGTGACGCAATCATGGTGACAGATGGGAAATTGATGATGCCAAGTTTGGTGAATTGTGATGATAGCGTCTCTTGTGTTGCTTTATGGATTCGAATCCTAGACGTATATGTAAATGAAGAAAGACATGACAGGCAAGGTGCTGGCAGGCAATCAGTGCTTGCATTCCTGGGTAGGTAGGTTTCAATGCATGTAGTAAATACCTAGGTAGGGTATGTATGGCAACTGTAGTTCCCTTGAGACTTCCCATCTTTCTAAACCTCACAACCCTTATCCGAAATGCCTGCTATTTATTCAGAATCGAAGTAAGGTGCGAGGCAACACACCAACGTGAACGGACATGGTAACTGCCAGGTGTGTTAGTAGTACCTGCTTTGTATTGGAAAACAAGAACATCACAGTTTCAGCACATCTCCAACCAACGTTGAGATAGCTAGTCGTACTGTACATCTGGAGGCTTCGTTGCCAAAAGACCAATAGCCAACACCTGGAAGCACCAGGTTTTCTATAACGAAAGACTTGGTCATATTTCTCTCCGTTAGTCATTGCTTTTAAAGATATGTTGAATTTCAGTTACAGTCCACCACGTATCACATCACAAGCATATGGACGAACGAAGCCAATGCATTTGACAGGTGCTGATTATTCAAGCAAACACTATTCATCTATACACGAGTATGGGCCAGCCTCCTCTCAACGGCATGCTGTGGCAAAGGGCCCAAAGGACACCCAACGTTGCCAGATCATGCTAATGCCGTCCAATGGCCGCAAAACAAACAATCTGTATATCGAACAAGGTATCTGAAAGCCAAACTGAACAGGCAGGACAATGAAAAAATAAGTAATAAATGAAACCAAGAATCGAAGAGGGTGCAGAATAATGCAGACCCAAACCAAATATTCAAAACTGCATGTGGGTGGAAATTCCACCAAAGAATATTAAAAGAAGAGACAATAAAGGTGCCCCGGCATATAGAACAGAGGAAGTAAAAGGCGACACAAGCCCCCTAGACAAGCCATCGCAGTCATTAACCCGTGCTGCCATTGCGCAGCTGGTCCAGTTTCCACTGCCCGGGGCGCAAGCCCAATGCGAAAACCGATTCCCGATCCCCTTCCTTGACCCCTAATAATGCCGTTTGACCCTTCGTAACCATGCAAAAAAGAGAGACGCAAAGCAGAAGGCAAAACCATGTACCCATCAACAAACAAAACTCGAAACAATTAATAGCAAAAACGGAACCAAACTGGACATTGCGATTACCCGCCCTGCCTCGGGTATCGCCAAGGAGATAGTGAAATGAGAACCATAAGGAGATATAAATGCAAAGGAGATAGAGAAGTCCAACTCCCTCCCGAGCCTTTCGCGCCGGAATCGACCGAGTGAAATAGCAACGAATTAACCCACAAACAAAACTAAACATGACGTAGAAAGCCAGAAAAGGTATATGCCTAGGAGACAAGAAAAAGCCCGAACCAGCCTAATGGCAAAAATAATAGGAAAAGTCATTTCAGTCATCACCAATTAATTTTAGTACACGCTGTCCTCATCAGCCCCCTGCGAGATCATCGAGGGGGTGGAAACATTAGAGGAAGCCTCAGGATCATCGACATAGCCGACGAGAGCCTGAGAGTGTAGTTTGAAAGAATCGCCCATGAGTCGTGTCATACTATTAAACGGTTAGCCGTGTTGCACTGAGATCATCGAGTAAGTAATACATACCCCCAAACAACAACTTCATCCAGAATTGAGCCCCAGAGTCGTGCGACAACTGCACTCAGCTGGGACATGTAGTTTTCATCAATTTCCTTAACCAGAAGCTGACGGACTTTGTTGTACATTGCCAATTCCTCCTGGGTAGCAGGCTCCTCGTCGTGTTCCAGACGATAGAGCCACAGAGATAGAATAATCATGAGATCCATTCCACAGAGCGCATGCTCCACGCTCCAGTTGGTAGGCGATACACGGGCGATCCATCTCACTCCTTGGGAGACAACGGTTTCGAGGCAGTTGTAGCATTCATCAATAACCTTGACCATCTCACTTGAACGCTTTACGCGATCACGGGCGTGCGTCATCGCGGCCGCAACCTCGTAGGGTTCATGGTAGCGCAAAGCCTCTTGTACCGCCTTGAGGTCAACCTCCAGGCGGGCACGGGCGTTACGGTACATGGCTTTGGCGTTGAAGATCAAGGGGTGGCCCTTGTGAGGAGCGCTGATAGGAACTGGGAATGCTTCGGTCTCGCACATGTCAACAGACTTCTCCCATGTCTCTAGAGCCAGCCGCAGCTTGTACTCTGTAACCACATCTTGCAGTGCTTCAGGGCTTCGCTTATGATACCAGACCTCGAGGAACAAAGCATTGATCATGACACGAGTACCAAATGTGCTGTACCGAAGAGTTTCGCCTTGGAAAAGGTTGTCGTGAGCCTCCATAAAGGTCACAGTCGTAGAAGCTGTAAGATGCTCTTGCCACGTCGCCTCGTCTGCAACCTGCAAGTTCCAGAGTGTTTCCGTAGAAGGAAGCTGTAGATCTTCAAATTCGCTGAAACTGATGGCAGGTGTGTGGTTATAAGTAAGAGTCAACAGGCCAAAGAAGATGTACACTGCATAGTATGTGCGGCGACAGCCTTCATCCTCGACCCATTCGGCACGGGTTGGCTTTGCGCCTGTGCGAGCTTCCTGTCGGAGCTTGAGCTCATACCTGTTACCGGCGACCATGTTGGCGAGCAGACTCTTGATCGAGCACGTCCATTCAAGGCCTTTGGGATCACCGCTCCAGCTAGCAAAGATCATGTTCAGCAGGTTGCTCTGCATCGTCCATAAAGGACACTTGCGAGAGCTGAAATTCTCCTTACTTTGAAGAAATTGGTTAACCAGGACCTTGGAGCCAATGTGGAGCATGTATGCTTGTTCTTGATCAAAAGCATAGAGGGCACCAATACTGAGGACTGCTAGCAACAGTTGGGGCGAGACTTTGGTAGGGTGGAATGAGGCCGGGTGTAGGAAAGGTAGATGGTGGTGGAATAGCCCGAAGTATGTTGACAGGTATCGATTTAATGATCCAAGGCCCGGAAGACGGAAGCCCTCGGGAATGGCATGCTCGCTGTCTGCATTGCGAATGTTGTCCAAGATGGCGTTGCGCTCATCGTCACCCAACACCTCTGGAGCCTTGTAACCAGCTTTAGAGGACTCTGAAACCCAAGGGGATGGTGGCGCGGCGGCAGAGTTTGGTAACGAGTTGATCATCGACTGTAAAGCGGGAACCAGACCATTGCAGTTTTGGCCGTTGATAGGGGGCAGTTGGTTGTTGGACTGGGGCTGCATTGCAGCTCCGCTGGTAAAGGAAGGCTGTGACTCGAATGAACCGGACGCGCTTGAGGTTATGGAGTGTGCCTTGGGCTCAGCGACTGACTGAGACATGAAACCGTCCCACTGAACTTGAGGTAGTGCAATAGCACCGGATGGGTATGTCACCGTAGATTCTATGGTAGCAGCGTTATGAGGTGAGTATGTCATAGAAGTGTCCTCGTATGAGTGGTCTTCGCGCATCGCAGCTGTGGCTTTATGATGTAGATCGGCTACAAGCATGGCTGCAGCTTCGACGTCGAACATGGCATCGGCACCGGATTCCATTTGCTCCAGAGTGGAGGTATCGATGGCGATAGATGATTTCGAAGGCGCGCCGACAGCGCGGGTTTTGGGGCCAGCCCGGCGTTTGCCATCGCTGTGAAGTGGGACGCCGCCATCCTTGGCGTGGACTGTACGATCATGTCTGAGAAGAAGATCGCGACGGACAAAAGTGCTTCTACACTTCATACATTTGAAAGGTCGCTCTTTGGTGTCTGTTGAAGACGTTAGCTTACCACCAAACTGGTAGAGGGGGGGTTTGTGGGCGGGTTGACTGTTAGACGTTGGGAAGGGGCGGTGCACGTACGTGATCGTTCATGGCGACTTCGATGTTCGCTCCTGCTGAAGGCCCTGTTACAAAACTGGCACTTGTATTTGCGTTCGGGTGCCAGCGAGGCCTTTCGCGAAGAGGCTGTCGAGGCCGCGGGGGGCGGGAGGACTGCTACGTTTGCACCGGGCATCTTGACGTTGTCGGGTCGCGTTTCCTAGGCGTGGATGGCGACAGAGGACGACGGCAATCTTGCGATCGGTAATCGGGCAGTTAGGCTAGGCCTGACAGCACGATGGTTGAATATCGTCTGATTCGTAGAATGTTGTGACTCTCGCTCCTGCTCTCGATTGCTAGCTCTTCGCTTGCGCGGACTCCCGTGGGGTTTAAAGGGTGAAAGTGGTGATCTTGAACGTGATGATGGTCATTGGATATGATTGATCGATGGTCATGGAAAGTCTGAGATGCTTGTGTTGAATAGGGTTAAAGGCTTTAAACGGCCTCTTCGAAAGTTTGTACAGGTTGGTTGATAAGGCGAAAGTGTTGCAGGATGAGTCGAGCTGGTGGTGATGGAGGGGAATGTAGGAAGAAGGGGAATAAAAGCGAGGGGAGCAGATGTAGAAGACTTAGAGGGGCGGACGGGAGGGAGGGGGGAGAAATCCGGAGGGGAGAGTGACCCGGGAGTTGGGGGGGCACTTATTTTCTGGGTGGGGAGGGAAAGTAGGAAGGAGGGGAACTATCCATGGAAAACCAAGAAGAGGGAACTGACGAGGGAGAGATGGAAGGAGCGAGGGAGGGATGAAGAGGGGTGGCTGAGAAGTCACTGGCTGAGGCTGGGTTGGGCTGGACGGCCAGCAGCCGGGACAAATTATGCCAGCGCAGTGCGGTGCAGCATAGGTACATACAGCACAGTGACCTAGCATAGCACAAAAGCATGGACTACTACCTAGTAGTCTTTAGATAACTTGTACAGGACATAGCCCGAGGTCCACGGCTGCATAGATGGCATGGACATTGACCTTCCTTGGCGGGTAATGTACTACGTACTGGCGTGGACAAGCTCGCTAGAAAGTCTGAGTGAACAGAGAACGAATGCAGGAATATGCAGCCCGGCAGCGACTTTCAGTGCGTAGCCAGCAATGCTAGGCTGGTGAGCCCCCCGTCACACCCCTGTGAGTCCAGGCCTCTCCCCTCTAAGCTGTCCGTATCGAGCATGTCCGTAGACCAGGTGAGCACCTACCTGGTCCACTTGCTGATACAATAGCGGGGCCTAATTCGGTGGAGGGGCGACGACGAGGGGCACCTCAAGCCATCGGTTGTGCTCCTAACCTTTTACGGACGAGCACTGGAAGAAGCAAGCACCTCAGCTTCTGAGCGAGGCGAACGAGCGCCGAACAAGCCCATAAGTGAAAATTCTGTCAGGAGAACCTAGCAGTAGCCAACGCCATCCGTCAATTAAAAGCAGCACTGACTGATGGATGTTGGCTGAGACACTACGGCCGGCACGCAATCTAATGAGTTACAATAATTGGCACGGAGCAATCTTAGCTGAGGTACGGAGCATGTACCGGGCATAAGGTCGTCTACGTACACTGTCACTTCGACAGAGGCAAAATAATACCTACTTGCATAAGCATAAGCATAAACGTGCCTCTTGGTACCGTCTTTTTCTTGGGTTCCTGCATCGGTGCAAACCTTGGCCTCTTTGCTCTATCGGCTACCGTCAATTATGTAAGTTCTGAGGGGGACACCTCCACATGAACACGATGACATGTACTTGGGGGCCACATACGATACTAATGAAGCAACTGTTCTTTTTTACATGCCCCCAACGCAGAGACAGCCAGAGACACGATTCCGTTTTCGAAACCGTCGGTCAAGAGCGACATATCGTATATTTGACGGTTATAGAGTCGGTGACGAGCACGAAATGTCGGAGTCAATGTCGGTGTCGAGAGACCTTGCTGAAAGTACAGGGAATGTATATCCACTCACTCCGTAATCCATCCTGTCCGCCTCGAAGACTGGCGGTCCGAGTGCAGTAGTTGATTGTCTGTTATCCACAGGAACGATGAGAGCTGGGGGGCCATGTCGAAAGCAAACAGGCCACAAGGGACGGAGGCTGGAAAATGGGAGCCAAAAAGGAGCAGGGGTAGATGGAGGTATCTAATCAAGAACGCAGACTGGCAGCGGTATCATCCAAACAACAGGGAAAAGCAACGAAGTACGAGACACGCATTATCGCTGGCCACCAACGACAACACAGAAACAGAGAGGCCCAAAGGCGGACAGGTGGGCAAGCAGCTTTCCTAGCCGCCAGGCCTTGGACAAGTAGCCCAAGTCAGTCAGACAGATCTTTGGAACGTGATCGCGAGACCATGAAATCATCTGGGGCTGGACTGAAGCGATTAGGCGGGGAAGCCCTGAAAGCTCCATCATCACCAACTCCTCAAAACAACCCGCAAGGCCTGATCGTTTATGAATCTGTTATCTGACTCAGCGTCCTGTCCTGCTGCGAGTATTGCATTGCCATATATAGATGTCTCTTGCTCAGTGCGTACCATCACCGTCTTTAATACCTATGGACATCCCACCAGCGCAGATAGGCGTAGCGTCATAGTACAGCGACCTGTCAAAGACAGATCCCGTTCCCAGTGCACCGGCGCAGGGCCTAGGATGGCCGTCGTCGCGGGCGCGCCTTGCATTCCGCGCCCCACTTGATGTGAGGCTCCCCTGGTCAAGCGTGCAAAGTCCTAGTGGGAGACGGACTATACACGGGGAAGTTGATGAGACTTCCTGTTCACCTCGCGTCGAAAAACCCCTGCATCAGGATGGTTGGATCTCGTTTATATGCACTGTGATACACTGTATGTGCTTGCAAGCTTGTTCTGTCATCATGTATAGTGTCCAAAAGACCATCGACACGGCTCGCTGCTTGGATTGCAACTCTGGAACAGTCTAATCTCACCATGATTAGATGTTTAATTTCATGGACCTTTTTATATCATCAGACATATATCATTTTCGACGAAACACTTGTTCGAGTAAAAACCCAGACCGCCCAAGGTTTCGGTCTCCCAACTCCATTCTGTTGCATACCCACGCCTTGCTTTAGAAAATTGTTTTATCTGTAGGTACCAAAATAGCTGTGCACCCCTAACTATGGCTTATCGTTCACTTCATCAGATATACGAAAGCGTAGTGGACTTGAATAATTATCGGTCATGCCGTGATGCTAGCATATCGACTGGCATTCGATTATACATACGGTGACGAAAGTGACACCAATTAATATCTGAAGGAAAGTAATTTATATGCCAACCCAAAATGCAAGGAGAAAGGCATGAGAGATAGGATGCAAATGTTCCACAAAAAGAGGCAAACAGTATGTACTCTATATGTATAAATTCGTCATCTAACCTGTCATGAAATGAAGAATGAATCTGGCCCGCGAGATCGACAGGAGAATGAGCGATCACTAACAATGGGGGGCAGAAGCATCGCATTCACATTTCAGTCAACGAACTTAGTCAGGTATAGTTACAACCCAAAAATCAGACTCGTTCTTGGTGACTCCTTTTAATAGTCTCTGGATGATTCATTCGCGTATCCACAACGCGTCAAAGCTCGTCGCCAGAGGAATGAAAACGACTGTCAGCAGCAGGGAGACGAGTCGTGAGCTAGAAGGGTTCATCTCGCTATGGAAAGATTGGAAACTTGAAAGAGACGCTAATTGAGCCCCTCTCAGCTTGCCGGCCCTTTCGGATCTGCAACCTATTTGTCCTACAACACTGTCGTACCCCGCAACGGTCGGACGGTACTGGCGCCCGAAAAGGATCCAGCATTAATTCAAGTTAATTACTGGAAAGGATGGAGGGGGAGTCCATTGCTTCCAGAAGAGGGGAGGGGCTGCCGTTGTGCTTGCACTTGACCAAGCACTTGTTTCCACAGACGCTGAGCTGAATCTGAATCGTTCCGACTAATATGTAGACTGTCGGACGTACATATAAGATTTGCCTTTTGTGTATCGGTTTGGTTCAGCTAACGACTGAAGCGGGACGGTTCGGGACGTAACAGGCAGTGCTTATAACGGCATGTAGCTTCCTCCAAGATATTCAGTGGTTGCAACTTGTGCAACATCTGGAACCTTAAATGGCGGTGCATAACTCCTTCTCCAAAATCACAATGAACAATTTGAGCACTGTACAAACAGATACATCAATGTACATCTGAACTACTTGGACACAAATCCACCTTTAGCAGACAATAATGGGGTGCGGGTCCGCGGCAGTCTCCCGGAGTAAAGGGTGCAATGGTTTGGGTTAGGCTCCACGTGGTGTCAAAGCGATAGGAAGTGGAGCATGTTTGCTGCCTTTCTGTTGTTGTTGTTGTTGTAGTACGAAGAAGTCGGCTCTCTTCTCTTTTTGACCTCCTGTCGTAGCCTTGATTCTCTTTCGTTGATTCGAAGCCAGTGGAATGCAACCCAGGTATACGTATGTAAGTACTTAGCTGACAGTGCTAACTCCGCTATACATGCACAACATCTTTGGGACTGCTAAATTTATTTCTATGCTTACGAAAGAAGTGAACCCAACGTCTGGTGCACTCCGTGGAAAATCATGGTCGTGCTTATGCGCCAGTCTCGTTGTCGGTGGTGGGTGCGCAGACTGGCTGTAAACTAGAGAACTGGGAGATGAGGATGAGATTAGACAAGGGGCTGTCGTCTCGTCTTACCTGAAGCTTAAGCAGAAGACATGCTGTCGTTGACCAGTGCGCGTTAAGTACCTGTTGGCACCAATTTGGAAACACGACTTGATCGCTCTTCCGCTGACTCATTTGATGATTCTCCTTTGAATGAACGGTTGAAAAGAATGTCCCGTTTCATGGCAATGGCCTTGGTGGTTCATGGTTTACAGGACAAACAGGTCGTCACTTACAGTCACCACCTACCTGTGAAGTAAATGGACAATGGCTCTTGTTTGCGTAGTCATCACCTGCATCCTGCATGACATACTACTTACCTGCTCATCAGTACTATTAAGTCGTCGCCATTTTAAATCATTGGTTTGGAGGAATTAGAATAGACAAGAATAGAACCGGAACCGGTCACTCACGAGGTTTCATTGATCGTCTTCGCCTCGTGCAGGTGAGATTTTGAGCGCAAAGGAGAATTGCGTCTTGTGTACTCCTTTG